ATGCTGTTGGCTGCATGCGGTTCACAGTCGCCCCTCATCCGAGGAAGGGAAAATCCCTTCTCTTCCTCATTTGCTACGTTGTTTAAAATGAGGAATGGTGTGAGGCTTTATCCGTTTCTTCCTTCATTCTGGGTGATTTCTTTCTCCTTTGATAGGAGTGATGGTGGCGGGTTACCTGGAAGGCTTTCGGGCGCTAACGCAGCCCCGCGGTCCCGGAACCCGCCTCATGCGCGTCTTGTCCTTGGCGGGGCGGCTGAGAGGGAGCGGTCTGGGCCGGCCCTCGCAGGGCCACCGTGGGTCTCGTTCCCTTGTCCCCTTGTCCCCTTGATTGTTCCTCTTCTGCTGTTATCTCCTGGTGCGCCTGACTGGTTTGTAATTACTATTTTGTAACCAGTTTGGATACAGAGATCTCTTTCCGGACCAGGAGGCAGGGAGGGCAGGCGCTCCCTGTGCCCTTCTGTCCGGGTGAGGCGGCCCGGCCCGCGGTGCTGAGGGCGTCTGCCTCTCCCTCTCACCGCCGCCGGCCCTGCGGCGGCCCGGCTGGAAGCTGGCTGGGTCCCAGAGCCGCTCTCCCTTGTGGGCCCTGACGCCTCTTCCCCGCTCCACGGGGCGCGTGACTGCCTGAGACACGCTCTGCGGCTCGTGCCGCGCGCGCCTCTCTTCCTGCTTGTTTGCTCAGCGATCGCTCCGGGCGCCCAGAGCCTCGCGCTTGGCAAGTGCCTCCGGAGGGACTGCTGGAGCGCCAGGCGGCTGGGACTGGGAGAGCCAAGGGCCTGCAGGAAGTGACTCCAGGCACCTGTGAGGTCATCCCTGTGAGCTCATTTCTGTGCAGGCCTTTCCCGGGGACCTGAGCCTCCAGCCGCACGCCTGAGCCCCGGGGAGCCGCGCAGTGTCGCTCCAGATGCTGGGCCCACACGCCTCTCTGGCTGGCATCTGGGCCTCCCGCTGGGACCTGGCGGACGCCCCGAAATGACAGGCGGCGTCAGGGGCCGAGCTTCCTCGAGACCTTCCTCGAGACCCTCCTCGCGTCCCAGGATGACCCCGGCGGGGCTGTCAGGGGATGTGTCGCGCCAGAAGCCTCCGTCTCTGCACTGCAGTATCATTACTATCTTTGTTGGCCAATCTTTGGGACGGATCCCTGTGCATGTCGGCACTGGACCTGTTGCCCGAACGGCACGGACGGGAAAGCGGCTCCGAGCCCAGCGGCCAGCCGGCCCAGGGGTGGAGGGCAGCCGCCCGGGAGAGGCGCTCGTCCTGTGCCGACAGCTCCCTGGGCTCTCGGGCCGCCCATCTAGCCGTGAGGGGGATGCCCGACCTCCCTGAGGGCCCCTCGACACCCCAGACAGGTCACCTTGCAGGCGAGGCGGGGCGCTGCTTTGGCAGGGGGGAGCCCTTCCCCGCCGCCCCCGCCACGCCTGTCTTGCCCCGGCCCCCAGGTGTGAGCCCCAGGGCTTCTGGACTCTCCCCACAGACCAGCAGACGCCTGCGCCGGCGCGGGCTCGGCCAGCTGTGCCCTGCTGGGGACCCTGCAGTGCCCTCTGCTGCGGCCGAAACCTGCTCCGTGCCGCCTCCTGCCAAGGGCGTGGGGGGCGTCCCCGGCCCTCAGATCTACCTGAATTTCAGGTTTTTAGAAAGCTGCCGGGACTTAGCCCAGCCAGTCCCCACCCTGTGCTCCGAGAGGCCGTGGTCGAAGAGCCGGCTCCAGGGAGGAGCTGAGGCGGGCTCAGGGCAGGAGCAGCCGTGGGAAGCTGCTCCCCGCGTGGGAAGGGAAGCCGGTGCTTGTTTCTGGGCGCCTTGCCTTCCGCCGGGCCGGCCGCTCTCCTCGCCGCTGCTGCTCTGGTCAGCCCGCCGTCGTGGTTGTGATCGTGGTGGTGACTTTGCATCGCAAGCACCATCAGCGGGGTTTTGACTGCTTCCCCACGTCGGACAAGGTTGTGAACTGTGGGGTCGGCGATGGGGACAGAAGCTTGCACACCTGCAGAGTGTAGACCAGAGGACACCTTTCCATCAGCCTGGGCTCATAAGACGCTGCATGGGCGCGAGGGTGCCAGTCTGGAGCTGCTGGGGGGTGTACCAGGCTGGGGTGCCATAGAGGTGTGTATCCCAGGTTGGGGGTGCTGGGGAGTAGTGCGTACCAGGTCGGGGCACAGGGGGGGTGCTGGGGTGTATGTGCACTGGGGTTGGGGCCCTGGGAAGTGTGTGCACCAGGCTGGGGGGTGGGTCTGGAAGGTGTGTGCACTGGATTGGGGGTGTGTGCACCGGGCTGGGGTGCTGAGGGGCCTGGGTGTGTATGCATCAGGCTGGGGCTCTGGGAACTGTGCACACCAGGCCATGGCACAGTGGGGTGCTGGGGTGTGTGTGCACCAGGCTGGGGGTGGTCTGGAAGGTATGTGCACTGGATTGGGGGTGCTGGGGGAGTGTACATCGGGCTGGGATGCTGGGAAGTGTGTGCACCGGGCTGGGGCACTAGGGGGTCTGGGGGGTGTGCTTCGGGCCGGGGCTCTGGGAACTGTGTGCACCGGACCGGGGTGCCGCGGCGGGGTCTGTGTACCTGTCGCTGTGGAGCTGTTTTTTGGGTCTTTTTTAAAGATTTATTTATTTTTATACAAGAACAGGGTACAGACTAGATGCGCAGGAGGGTGAGAGGATCCACCAGAGCCAGAGCGGGGAGCAGAGCAGGCAGAAGGACCGAAGTACACTGCTGAGGGGAGCAGCGGGCGGCAGGAGAGGTCTGCGCGCCAGGCGGGACCCTCCTCCGGTGGCCGGGGAGCAGCCGGGGATCGAACCGGCGCTGCAGAGGCCGCGGGCAGCTTCGCAGCCCAGCGCTCAACCGCTGCGCCACCAGGGAGGCCCCCCTGGAGCTGTTTAATGTCATTCTCTGCCCCCCTGCCCCCCGCCCGGTCTTGGACGTCGCCTTCTAACCCCACTGCTTGGATTTGACAGGCATTCTTGGGACGAACTTGATCCCTCCGGGCAGGGAGGGCCCACCAGCAAGGCCTCCGTGTGGCGCCTGCGTGTGCCCGCCTGAGGGACGCCAGGGCCCGGAGCCTCTGGGACAGGCAGGAGGACGCTGGGGTGGGGGTGGGGGCAGGGGTGCCCCGCTGGCCGCAGCCTCAGCACCACTCAGGCCTGTTAGATGTGCAGAGCTCAGACCTGCCCACATGCCCAGACGGAGCGAGCAAGCGGGGGACCTGCACTGCATCGCAGTACCCCCACCCCCCACGCCGCCTGGGGGTGAGGTCAGCACCGCTCACAGCGGGAGGCATCGCGGTCGTGGTGAACGCCGGGATGGGCGGTGTTGCCCTGTTCGGGCCGCAGGATTAGGTGGGGAAGCCCGAGACCCTCCCCCGGTGGGGGCCTCCTGGCAGACCCACCCCTCTGCCTGGACATCCCGCGGTGGACCCGCCGGCAGGGGCAGCGCCCTGAGGGCTGTTGGAGGACTAGGGAGCCTCCCGGCACTCCAGCCCGGGTGAGGGCGAGCGGGTGTAGGCGTGCTGTGGGGTGAAGGTGAGGACGTGTGAGAGGATCATGTGGTGGTGTGAGTGTGTGGGGGGAGTGGACGTGCTCGCGGTGTGTGTGTATTCTGGGGGCGCGTGGGGGTGTGCACGCGCTCGGTCCAGCGGGCTGTCTCTGGACTCTGCGACCAGCGCACATGCACCCCAGCCCCGCCCTAGGCGGGGGAGACGCCGGGACAGGCCGCATCTGGGCCCGAGGAGCTGACCACACGCGGAGGGTGCCTGGACACCGTCCCTTCCTCTGTCCCCACTCTCGCCTGCCGGGGCCTGGACACCCTGCCCCCGCAGCTGGTGCCCTGGGGTGACCGTCCTCCTGAGCCAGGTGGTCCCGTGGGCACCTTGAGCAGCCAGACCGGCACGTCCTCACCCAGAGATGGTGCAGGCCCAGGCCTCCCGGCCCAGCAGCACCGGGGGCTCGGACGCATCCGTCGGTCCCTGGCCGGCTGCCCCTGCAGGGCCGTGTTGTTTCTGGACGAGGGTGTGTTTTGCCCTCGCGGGCTGCTCTCCATGTCTGAACTTCAAAGCGCTGGACTCTGTTTCCCAGACACCCCTGGCCGCTGCTCAGTCACCTTGGCCAGAGGTCACTGGTCGCCAGGGGGCGTGACCTGGGCCTGGCAGGGGCGCTTTCAAGACACCAGGCGCAGCTGAGTAAACACTGGCCCAGCCGCCCCCACCCGTGCCTGCGCTCAGGAGAGCTTCCTGCTCGCTCCCTGCGTGCACAGGGAGTCGCTGGCCCCCAGAACCTTGGCTCGGTGGCCGGGGGAATGCAGATGCAGGGGCGACCTGCTGGTCTTGCCGTGACCCCAACGGGTGACTTACCCTGGACCGTGCCGGCACGCCTGCCTCCGTTTCCCCCGCTGGCACCGGGGCATGACGGTCACCACCTGCAGGGTTGCTGCAAGGACGGGGCAGAGCAGAGCCCTGCGGGCGTCCCTGTGCCGCCTCGGCGGGTGCGCGTCCAGAGCACACGTCCCCCTGCCAGGCCCGCCCCACCGGAGCGGGAGCCCCGTCTCGTGCCCACGGCCCGGGTTACGGTGGGAACCGCAAAGTGGAGCAGCATCCCCCGCCCAGGCCGGCTGCGGCCCCACCCTCCTGCACCCCTTCAAGGGGCCGCCCTGGCGGGAGAGAAGCGGTGGCGGGTGCAGGGCCGGCCCGGGAAGGGCGAGAGCCCCAGTGTCCACGCGCTCCTCCCCCCCGCCGCCCCTCTGCTCAGAGCTGAGCAGCCCCCGAGTGAGTGCGGGCGGCCTGGCCCGTGGGCCCCCCAGCCACGGGGTCCCCGGGAGGGCTGTGCAGCGGCCACAGCGGGTGCTAGGGCGGGGCAGGTGCAGCTCGTGGCGGGGAGGCGAGGCCTCGTGCGCGTCCCCCCGGTGGCATCACGGGGCCAGCGGGTGCGCGGGCGCAGCAGCCCTCGCCGGGCCGAGCTTGGCGCCTGTGTGCTGCGGGCGGGTGGGGCCTCCCGGCGCTCACCGGGCTCCTCTCTCACAGAGACCCTGACCTGTTTCTGCTGGACACCCAAGTGGCCTGGGCCTCCGAGGCGGGCTGGCTGGAGTTCGACGTCACGGCCACCAGCAACCTGTGGGTGGTGACCCCGCGGCACAACAGGGGCCTGCAGCTGAGCGTGGTGACGCAGGACGGTGAGCGCGCCGGGGCGGGTGGGGCTGCTGTGGGCGAGTCGGAGGGCGGGCGGGGGGCAGCGGCTGAGGCCGAGGCAAGTGTGAGGCGGCCGCCCAGGCCCCGCAGCCGTGTGCTGCCCCCCGGGGTCTCAGGCAGGCAAGAGCGGGCGGCTTGTGGGCCGGCCCGTGGAAGGCCAGGGCCACGGCGCTGGCCGCCCCGGCTCCGGGGCTCTCGTGTGTGCCGGCCGCACGGAGGTGGGCGATGGGGTGGCCTGGCCGCAGCGTGGGTGCAGGGGTAAGGGTGCCTTGGTTTGCCCGCAGGTCTCAGCGTCAACCCCCGGGCCGCCGGCCTGGTGGGCGGGGACGGCCCGCAGGACAAGCAGCCCTTCCTGGTGGCCTTCTTCAAGGTCAGCGAGGCGCGCGCGCGCACCGCCAGGTCGGCCCCGGCCGGCGCCGGCAGCAGAGCCGTGGCCGCTCCCCGCAGCCCCAGGGCGTGGCCAGCGCCTCGGGTAGGTCTGGGGACCGGGGTGCGGGGGCTCAGGCACATGGCGTCCGGGCCGGGACGTGGCCCTGCGGGCGCCGCTGCACACCCCGGCGGGTCCGTTCCCCAGAGAAGCATCCCCAGTGGGGTCAGGCCGCTCACGCGGAATCCCGCGGGTGGCGGCCAGGCCCCTGCCCTGTGTCCTCGGGCCCCGCTCTGGGCGCTCGCTGGACTGGGGCGGCCGGCAACCTCGGCGGGTCTTGCCGCTGACCCACTGGAGGGCGGCCGGGGCCCCGTGCGGCCCAGGGGAGCCGCTGCATCGCCCCTTGGGCTGCCCTGTCCCTGTGGGCGGCGCAGGCCCCACAGGTCCACAGCCCCTCCGGCCACGGCAGCTGCAGGGGCTTCGGGGGGTCGCTTCTGCAGGGCAGGGGCATGTGCTCGCCCCCGGAGGAAGGAGCAGCCCTCAGCTCAGGTACCTCAGAGATGGCCCCTTCTGGATGCGCCTCTGGGGGTGCAGGCGCCAGCACTAGGGCTGCCGCGGCCTCGACACCCCTCCAGAGCTAGGACACACCGGCCCCCCCCCCACAAGAAGCGTCCCCTGCAGTCCCTGCTGGAGGGTCTGGGTGTCCCGGGGCTCTGCGGAGGGTGTGGGCGACCAGGCCTTCGGCCGAGTGGGCCCTGAGGCTCCTGTGCGGGCCCCGAGCTGAGACGGTCCAGTCTCCTCACCGCCTCCCTCCAGCCGGTGGTAGGTTCACTGGGCCGCGGGCAGAGGGTGGTTTTCCCAGCCCAGCAGGTGGAGCTTTGTCTCCTGACCCCGTCCATGAGAGGGGCCGGGCGGGCGGCAGAGACTCTTCCCGAGTCTCGAGCGGCCGGGCCATGGGCTGGGCTCGTGAGGGAGCCGGTCCTGGGCCTTTGGACTGTCAGGTGCAGCTATTTGCCCCGACCCCCTGGAGCCACACCGTCCTCCGTCGGAGCAGAGGCTCTCGGGAAGGGAGAGTCACACTCTGTGCCCCAGTCTGGCCAGGGCGGGCCCTGCCAAGGCCTCTGGCCCCAGACCCGCCTGCCTCACAGCCGCGCCCAGGGCCTGTCGCCGATGGACGCCGGCAGGTGCTGCTGTCGCCGGCGTGTGGGCCTCTGTCCAAGGGTAACATCGCGGCCAGTCCCAGCGCCACGGGCTCCCTGCAGCTCGGCCCCACGGCTGCCTGGGCTCAAACTCCGGTGACGTGCCCGGCCCGGCCGGGGCGAGGGTGCTCGCGGGGCTGGTGGCCGGCCGGGGTCTGCGGCTCTGGCTGGTTTGCGTGTCCAGGCGGAGGGAGCTGCCTGGACCTTCTTGCAGGGAGCCGAGGGGGCTGGGTGGGGGGGGCCGGCAGGGTTCCTGCACCTGCGGTTTGTGGACGCACGAGATGGAGGTTGGTGTCGCTCCCTGCACTGCCCAGCCCCAGCCGCAGGCATTTCAAGGGCACCAGGGACCTCCGCAGATGCTCAGTTGACCTTGGACAGTGTGGGCGTTGGGAGGTGACCCTCACACAGCCGGAAATCTGAGTCTGGCCCTGAGCCCTGAGCTGAGCGCCGAGCGCCGGCTGCCGGGGGACGCAGCGTGCCAGCGGCGGAACTCGTGTGGGCGCCGGGGGAGTGGCGCCTCTAGCAGCACGGGCGGGCGGCGGCCCCGGGCTGAGGGCTTGCGCTCTCCCCACAGAGCACGGCGGCGAGCTCAGGACGGCCTGCCGGAAGCACGAGCTCTACGTGAGCTTCCAGGACCTGGGGTGGCAGGTGGGTGCGCGGCGGGCGGGTGGGGTGGCGGGCGGGGGCCGCGGTCTTCCGTTGTCTTCATGCCGGCGGCAGCGGAGACCTGCTCTTTAGACACCAGGCACCCCCACGCCCGCGGGCTCCAGGCTCTCGATGGGGGTCCCAACGACTCCCCCGGGAGCTGCTCCCCAGCTCTGTGTCCCTGGGAGCCCAAGGCCCGCAGCCTGGTGCTCGCCCGCATCTGGAGGCCGAGGGCCTGGCCTCCCTGCGCGTTAAGCTGCCTCCTGTGCGGCCCCCGCCCAGCGGCATGCCCTCCGTCCAGGCCCCCGAGCGCCCCTCCCCCAGCCGCGGGTGCCCTGAGCGGGCTCGGGCGGCGGGGGCCGGGCTACCCGGGACGCTGCTCTCTGCCCGCAGGACTGGATCATCGCCCCGAAGGGCTACGCGGCCAACTACTGCGACGGCGAGTGCGCCTTCCCGCTGAACGCGCACATGAACGCCACCAACCACGCCATCGTGCAGACGCTGGTGAGTGCCGGGAGGGCGGGGGGAGGGCTGTGCTCGAGCCCACGCCGCCCTCTGCCCCCGCAGGTGCACCTGATGAACCCGGAGTTCGTGCCCAGGCCCTGCTGCGCGCCCACCAAGCTCAACGCCATCTCCGTGCTCTACTTCGACGACAACTCCAACGTCATCTTGAAGAAGTACCGGAACATGGTGGTCAGGGCCTGCGGGTGCCACTAGCAGGGCACGGTGGGTGGACCCCGTCCGGGTCCCAGCCTCGCCCGTCTGACGCCCGCACCAGGGCCGGGCCCACGCCCGCGGGACCGACCGGGTGCCCAGAGCAGCGGCCAAGGGAGGGCACCCGCCCGGGGCCCAGCCGAGGGCGCGCCATGCGAACGGGGAGCCTGCCTGAAGGTGGGGTTCGCGCCGCTGCCGCCTGGGCTCTGGAAGTGCCTTTTGCCGGAACATTGTGGGTCCCGTTTCCACAGTGGGGGGTGAGACCCATTGTGTGAGACGGGAGCCTCGCGGGCGTGAGACCCTGTTTCAGGGTCGACGAACCCAAGACCCCACCCTCGGCTCAGCCCCCGGCGCTGTTCTCGGCCAGACCCGGCGCGGGGCCGGGCTCAGAGTCGGCGTCCGCGGCCTTCGCCGGAGCAGGTGCCCGGGGCGCGGCTCCTCGTCTGCGCGGAGGTCCCTGCTGCCCGTGGACGCGAGACCCGGCCGCCCGCGGTCTTGTGTAAACGTGTTTCTCCCCACCGCGGGCTGCGGGCCGAGCTCACGCCCAAGCACACCAAGGCGACACGTGCCCGCGCCCGCAGCTGCCCCAGGGCGGCCGCTGGAAGCTTCGGCGCCGCATCTGCCCACACGCGCCGCCAGGCTTTGGTACCGAGTTTATTCAGGAAGGACAGTCAAGGCCGCGGGCCGCGTGCGTTTCTTGCAAGGCGGGCGCCCCCGGGGTGGGTTCTGGGGATACGCATCACCACGTGGCAGCGAGGCTCCCCTTAAGGCAGAGGTGGGCGCCGTCTGGGCCAGCACGGCTCCGCCCACCCTCATGGCCGCTCCGAGCCCGGGAACTGGGGTGCGCGCAGCCACGCGGCGCAGGGAACACGCGGGGGGGAGGGGGCCGGTCCCCTGACTCACAGCAGGCCTTCTCCCCACCCCAGGGGGAGACTCGGGGCGTCACACTTGGGCCCCAGGCGGCCTGACAGGAGGGTGAAAGTAGCAACTCAGGACTCGGGAAGTGGGGGGCCCCGCGGGGTGGCGGGCGCCCCTGGCACAGCCGGGCCAGCGTCTCTTCCATCGGCCGTGGCCGCGGGGCGTGTCCGGCTGACAGGTGACTCGTGGCGGGGCACTCTTGCCCCGGCCGGAGGGGCAGGCGGTCCCCGAGGAGCCCGCGCCAGCCCCTGGGGGCCCAGACGGCGCCGCGCAGCCACGGGTCACGAGCTCGGCGAGGAGCATCTGGGACGGCGGGACGCTGGGGCTCGCTCACCTCTCCATGGTCTTTCAAGTCCACCCCGTTTCTCTCCCGTGACCTGCGCTTCAGGACACAACTGCCTCTCGGCCGAGGCGCTGCGGGCCGGCAGCGAGCACGGACCGCCGGCTGTGGCCTTGAGGCCACTTGAGGCCCTTCTTCGCACAAGGCCCAAGGAGGCACTGACAAGGCCGAGGCGCAGACCCCCGTCCCGCCCCTCCCGCCCCTCCCCAGGTCGGCTCCAGGGCAGGACCCCAAGTGGACGCCTTGCGGGCCTCGCAGGTCACCCCAGCCCAGAGACGCCAGGCAGCTGGAGGGCACGAGGGCCCGGCTTGGCGCTCATGGGGTGACACAGCTGACCCGACAGGCGTGACGCCCGGGACAGCGGGGGCCCCGCTCTTGCAGCCGAGACGCTGGCGCAGCTGCGCGGGGCACATGTGCCTCTGCTCAGGGACCCGCCCTTTTGTGACCGACATCAAGGACGACCCCAGGCCCGCTTGACCTGACGGGGCCCCAGAGCAAGCCCTTGGGTTTCGGGGGGCAGGAGGAGGGGCGCAGGGCCGCACTGCAGACAGGGTCAGGGTCGCGGGTGCAGTTTACTGGAGACGAGGCGGGGAGCCTGCCGGGCGCAGGGTGACACCGTGCTCAGCCCGTGGGCGCGCGGCCGCTGTCTGGGGCCCCGGGGCGCCTAGAGCTCGTCCCTGGCCTGGCCCAGCACGAAGCTGTGCAGCGACTCCAGGTCCCGGCCCCCGCTGTGCTCGCCGACCTTCTGGCCCCCGCGGAAGAGCAGCAGCGTGGGGTAGCCACGTACCTGGGCGAGAGGGGGTGAGGCAGGCGCTGGCCGCGGGCACCGTGCACAGGGGCTGGCGGGCGGCCGGTGCGGCCAGGGACCAGGGGTCTGCGCCCTCCACCCGAGACACAGAAGGCTCAGGGGTGCTATCCCCGCACTGCTGCTCGCCTGGGGGCAGGTTTGGCGAGGTGGGGGGAGTGCGTGTGCAGGGATGTGGTGTGGGCGGGGGGACAGCTGGTGGGCATGGTGCACATACACACACCAAACACCCACACAGTTCACATGCCCCACAACCTAACATCCCCAGAAATACAACACCCCCTTCCACACCTGTATACATGCACCCCCCACCCCCATAGCACACACATCCACCAGTCACACCACCCCCCTCCTATGCCCACGGACACAGCTCCACACCACACCCATTTCACATACAGCGCACACCCTGATGACCACATACACGCCATGACTCCACACAGCAAACCCCCATAGACACCATCCTGCCATGCACATACCACACACACCCCAACACTCCTCCCCACACACCACACAGACACATCACATACACACCCATTCCACGACTACCACACACACGGCGGGGGAAAGGGCGTGGTGTGTGTGTTGGGGAGGCCGGTGGGGTATGTGTGCAGACCACACTGTATACGCACCCACCCACCCCATACTCACTACACACACCTCACCCCCCCATACATGAAACACATCACAATACTACACAATCACCACACCCCACATACAGCTATTATGCTGTGTGGGGGGAGGGGGTTGTGGGGTGTGTGTGCGCGTAGGGGGGGGGTGGGTGAGGTATGTGTGCAGACCACACTGCGCGCACACAACCCACACCTTCCCCCCCCCATACAGGAAACATCATCCACCACACCATAACGCCACATATCCAACATCCACCCACAACTACCACATGTGGCAATGTGTGTGTGTATGGGAGAGGTGGGTGGGGTTATGTGTACAACCCACACTGCGCACACCACACCCCCCCCCCCAATACACAAAACATTGCCCACCACATCATAGTGCACACAATCGCCACACACCCCACTGGGTATATGGTGAGCATACGGGTTGTGTGTGTGTGTGTGGGGGGGGTGGTATTTTTTAAAGATGTATTTATGCATGCACTCACTGCGCGAGTGTGGTGCGGTGGGGCAGGCATGGAGCGTATGGTGTGTGTGTGGAGTGGTGTGGGGTTTGTGCTGTGTGTGTAGTATATGTGGAGTGATGTGGGGTTCATGCTGTGTGTGTAGTATGTGGTATGCGGGTGTGTTGGTTTTGTGCTGTGTGTATAGTATGTGGGGTGTATGTATAGAGTGATGCGGGCTGTGTAGTGTGTTGGGTTTGTGCTTGTGTGTAGGGAATGGGGGTTGTTGGGTATATGTGTAGAGTGATGTGAGGTGTGGGGCTGTGCTGTGTGTGGAGTGATGTGGCATGTGCGGTGTGCTGTGTGTGTGTAGGGAATGGGGGGTGTATGTGTAGAGTGATGCGAGGTGTGGGGCTGTGCTGTGTGTGTGTGGAGTGATGGGGTATGTGGGGTTCATGCTGTGTGTAGTATGTGGTGTAGGGTGTGTTGGGTTTGTGCTGTGTGTGTAGTATTTGGGGTGTATGTATAGAGTGATGCGGGCTGTGCAGTGTGTGGGGTTTGTGCTGTGTGTGTAGGGAATGGGGGGTGTTGGGGTGTGCTGTGTGGGTTTGGTGTATGTGGGGGGTGTTGGGGTGTGCTGTGTGGGTACGGGGTGTATGTGTAGAGTGATGCGAGGTGTGGGGCTGTGCTGTGTGTGTGTAGTATGTGGTATGCGGGTGTGGGGTGTGCTGGTTTTGTGCTGTGTGTAGTATGTGGGTGTATGTATAGAGTGATGCGGGCTGTGCGGTGTGTGGGGTTTGTGCTGTGTGTGTAGGGAATGGGGGGTGTTGGGGTGTGCTGTGTGGGTTTGGTGTATGTGGGGGGTGTTGGGGTGTGCTGTGTGGGGTGTATGTATAGAGTGATGCGGGCTGTGCGGTGTGTGGGGTTTGTGCTGTGTGTGTGTGTAGGGAATGGGGGGTGTTGGGGTGTGCTGTGTGGGTTTGGTGTATGTGGGGGGGTGTTGGGGTGTGCTGTGTGGGGTGTATGTGTAGAGTGATGCGAGGTGTGGGGCTGTGCTGTGTGTGTGTAGTATGTGGTATGCGGGTGTGGGGTGTGTTGGTTTTGTGCTGTGTGTAGTATGGGGTGTATGTAGAGTGATGCGGGCTGTGCGGTGTGTTGGGTTTGTGCTGTGTGGGTATGGGGTGTATGTGTAGAGTGATACAAGGTGCGGGGCTGTGCTGTGTATGTGTAGTATGTGGTATGCGGGTGTGGGGTGTGTTGGTTTTGTGCTGTGTGGGTGTAGGGAATGGGGGGTGTTGGGGTGTGCTGTGTGGGTATGGGGTGTATGTGTAGAGTGATGCGAGGTGCGGGGCTGTGCTGTGTGTGTGTAGTATGTGGTATGCGGGTGTGGGGTGTGCTGGTTTTGTGCTGTGTGTAGTATGTGGGGTGTATGTATAGAGTGATGCGGGCTGTGCGGTGTGTGGGGTTTGTGCTGTGTGTGTGTGTAGGGAATGGGGGGTGTTGGGGTGTGCTGTGTGGGTTTGGTGTATGTGGGGGTGTTGGGTGTGCTGTGTGGGGTGTATGTATAGAGTGATGCGGGCTGTGCGGTGTGTGGGGTTTGTGCTGTGTGTGTGAGTAGGGAATGGGGGTGTTGGGGTGTGCTGTGTGGGTTTATGTGGGGGGGTGTTGGGGTGTGCTGTGTGGGGTGTATGTGTAGAGTGATGCGAGGTGTGGGGCTGTGCTGTGTGTGTGTAGTATGTGGTATGCGGGTGTGGTGTGGGTTTTGTGCTGTGTGTAGTATGGGTGTATGTAGAGTGATGCGGGCTGTGCGGTGTGTGTTGGTTTGTGCTGTGTGGGTATGGGGTGTATGTGTAGAGTGATACAAGGTGCGGGGCTGTGCTGTGTATGTGTAGTATGTGGTATGCGGGTGTGGGGTGTGTTGGTTTTGTGCTGTGTGGGTGTAGGGAATGGGGGGTGTTGGGGTGTGCTGTGTGGGTATGGGGTGTATGTGTAGAGTGATGCGAGGTGCGGGGCTGTGCTGTGTGTGTGTAGTATGTGGTATGCGGGTGTGGGGTGTGCTGGTTTTGTGCTGTGTGTGTAGTATGTGGGGTGTATGTATAGAGTGATGCGGGCTGTGCGGTGTGTGGGGTTTGTGCTGTGTGCGTGTGTAGGGAATGGGGGGTGTTGGGGTGTGCTGTGTGGGTACGGGGTGTATGTGTAGAGTGATGCGAGGTGTGGGGCTGTGCTGTGTGTGTGTAGTATGTGGTATGCGGGTGTGGGGTGTGCTGGTTTTGTGCTGTGTGTAGTATGTGGGGTGTATGTATAGAGTGATGCGGGCTGTGCGGTGTGGGGGTTTGTGCTGTGTGTGTGTGTAGGGAATGGGGGGTGTTGGGGTGTGCTGTGTGGTATGGGGTGTATGTGTAGAGTGATGCGAGGTGTGGGGCTGTGCTGTGTGTGTGTGGTATGTGGGTGTGGGGTGTGCTGGTTTTGTGCTGTGTGTAGTATGTGGGGTGTATGTATAGAGTGATGCGGGCTGTGCGGTGTGTGGGGTTTGTGCTGTGTGTGTGTGTAGGGAATGGGGGGTGTTGGGGTGTGCTGTGTGGGTTTGGTGTATGTGGGGGGGTGTTGGGGTGTGCTGTGTGGGTATGGGGTGTATGTGTAGAGTGATGCGAGGTGCGGGGCTGTGCTGTGTGTGTGTAGTATGTGGTATGCGGGTGTGGGGTGTGCTGGTTTTGTGCTGTGTGTAGTATGTGGGGTGTATGTATAGAGTGATGCGGGCTGTGCGGTATGTGGGGTTTGTGCTGTGTGTGTGTGTAGGGAATGGGGGGTGTTGGGGTGTATGTGTAGAGTGAGGTGTGGGGCTGTGCTGTGTGTGTGTAGTATGTGGTATGCGGGTGTGGGGTGTGTTGGTTTTGTGCTGTGTGTAGTATGTGGGGTGTATGTATAGAGTGATGCGGGCTGTGCGGTGTGCTGGGGTGTGCTGTGTGGGTGTGGTGTATGTGGGGGGGTGTTGGGGTGTGCTGTGTGGGTATGGGGTGTATGTGTAGAGTGAGGCGAGGTGCGGGGCTGTGCTGTGTGTAGTATGTGGGGTGTATGTATAGAGTGATGCGGGCTGTGCAGTGTGTGGGGTTTGTGCTGTGTGTGTGCAGGGAATGGGGGTGTGGGGCTGTGCTGTGTGGGTGTGGTGTATGTGGGGGGGTGTGTGGGTGTGCTGTGTGGGTATGGGGTGTATGTGTAGAGTGAGGCGAGGTGCGGGGCTGTGCTGTGTGGGGGGGGTGTGGCGCGAGCCCGCCTACCTCGTAGCGGCTGCAGACGTGGCGCTGGGCGGTGCAGTCCACCTCTGCGATCTTGACGGCGGCCAGGCCGGGGAAGTCCTTCCTGGCCAGCTCCTCCCACGTGGGCGCCAGGTTCTTGCAGTGGCCACACCTGCGGGAGGGTCAGCCCTGAGCGGAGTCCACCCGAGCCGACCCGCTCCTGACAGGCCTGGCTGCAGGGCCCCAGCCCCTTGCCGCCGTCTGGAGGCGGAACAGATGCCCCTGCGGCCGCCGTCACCGCGTCCTCCGAGCCCGGCGAGCTGCCCGGGGGCCGGGGCGGCCGCGTCCCCAATAAACAGCTGGGAAGGCCTGCATCCCGTGTCCATCCTTGCACCGACGCACCCGCGGCCTCACGGGGCGGCCGCTGCTCCGGTCACTCGGGGCCCCTGGATTGGGACGCTGGACACCGCTGCCCGCGCAGGCTGCTCTCTGGGCTGCCGGTGCCCCCAGCCGGGCGGGTGCTGGTGCCGGACAGGGCGGGCACGGCTGGAGAGGCCTAGAGCTCCCTGCACTGGACGGGGCTTTGCGGGCTGGCGCCGCCCTCCGGGGAGCCGCGTGCACGGCCGGCGCCAGCTCAGCGTGACGGATCCAGGGGACGAAGGCTCGCGTCCTCCGCACCCCCACGGCCTGGCCCCCGTGGGCTGGCCCCCCGGTCTCCAAACGAGGCCAGCCCTGCCGCGACGCCTCTTACCAGGGGGCGTAGAACTTGACGAAGGTGATGCCCTCGGCGACGGTGTCCTCGAAGTCGCCGTCCGTCAGGGCCAGCACGGCACCCTGTGGGGACGGCAGCCGGTCAGGCCACGCGCACGGCCCACCCCGGCCCAGCTCCCGCACAGCCGACACCTCACGGCGCCGTCCCCACAGGACCTTGCTGGCCCCGGAGTCACCTGGCTCAGAGCCTGCGGCCTCCATCCCAGCCGTGTCCAGATACCCACAGAGGTGCCCCGGCGCTGGCCAGGCCATTCAGACACCCATCTCTGAAGCCAAAAGCTCGGGGCTCCAGGGACGAGCTGCCTGCCCCATGGGTCTCCCTGAGCGTGGGCGCCAGTGGCTGAGCTGGAGCCCGGGTGGGGGACACCAGCCTCTTCCCATCCAGAAGGACCCGCCCAGTGCTGGGGTGCTGCTGGAACGCCTGGGGGACACAACCCCCCGCCCTGCCCCGGGGAGCCCTAGGCCCAGCACACACACCCGTCTGCTCAGCACAGCTCCGGGCCTGGCCACTCCCCGCCCCGCACCCGGGGCCCCCAGAGCTACTGGGCCAGAAGCTGGGGCCAGGGTCACTGGGGTGTCCACACAGCCCCCCACCCCAGCACCTGCAGTCCCGGTGGCCCCTCCCCCAGCACCCGCACCCTCCCTGCCCACGCAGTCCCAGCAGCCCCGTGGAACGCCAGCACCTGCACCCCACAAACCCCGTACCTCCACAGCCCCCAGTCCCACGCCCGTCCCCCCACCCCAACCCAGCCTCCCGGCCCCTCCTTGAGAGCGTCTGCCCTCAGCCCTGCCCCCTCACCAACCCCCCCTCCCCCGGGGGGGGGGTCCTGTACCCCGCCCAGCAGCCCCGACGTTCAGGGAGGGGGCTCAGGCCCCGCGTCCGAGGGGAATCCACCTGCACCCCAGCACATTCCGGGTCACGGGGGAAGGGGGCGCCGTCAGGGCGAGCGCCCTCAGAAGCAGGATTCCGGGGCCCCGCGCCCTGCAGGCTTAGGGAGCGTGTCCCCTGCCCGGCCCCGGCTTGTCCTCCCACCCAGAGCCCCGAGAACCCCCCTGGCCTAGCAGCCAGGGACGGCACCCACCTGGCCGGCGGGGGGCGTGGAGCCCAGCACCGGGGCCTCCGCCGGCTGCCCGCTCTCGGGGGCGCCCCCGTCCGCGCTCCGCAGCTGCGCCTCCACGTACTCCCGCAGCGACTCCAGGTCCCGCTTGCCCTTGTACTGGTCCACCTGGGGGCAGCACCCGAGCGCGGGGACACATGAGTGACCCCCGGGGACAGCGCCCTCGCGCCCGCCTCCCCGGCCCCCGCCCGCGCAGCGCCTACCTTCCTGCCGTCCCGGAACCAGAGCAGCGTGGGGTAGCCGCGCACCTGCTGGCCGGAGCAGAGCTCGTGCTGCTGCGTGCAGTCCACCTGGAAGGCAGGGGCGGGCCACACCCCACTTTCAGACCCAGGCTCCCGAAGCCGGGCCTCTCCCCGGAGCCGCCCCAGACCCCGCTGAGCCGGGGCAGGTGATGCGGATTTGGGGGCGGCCGTGCTCCGCTCCCTTGATGCTCGGTTTCTGCAGGCGACACGCCACACCTTGAGCAGGTCTGCGCTAGAGACGGGGGGCAGGTGGATGTGGGGGAGCTCCGGGTGGGGAATCCAGCGCAGCAATGGAGCGGGGCGTGGAGACCCCGGCAGGGCTGCCGCGGAAACCGACTCACTCCAGACTTTGCAGGCCAAGGGGGGTGAGGGGCGCATTTTACTCATTTAAAAGACTGACTCCTTTATGCGAAGGAGTGGGGTGCAGGCCAGGGGTGTGGGAATGAGGACTCCCCAGAGACAGAGCAGGCGGGTCCGCTGAAAACCACTGGCGAGGGGAGCGGCGGGAGACAGGCGGCGTCTGCCGCCCCGCGAGGGTCGGCTCCTGGGGGGGCGGACTCGGGCCGCAGAGGCGATAGCCTGAGACGGACCCCCAGGCCGCGTCTTAGAGGGGACCACTTGGCTGACGAGAGAGACTGAGACGAGCCAGACCGGGGCTGGCCGCCTCCCTGACCGTGTGAGCACAGCGCCCCGGGGCCACCCCCAGACTGCGCCTGCCCCGTGTTCTCACGGACGCTTCCCCCGAGTCCCGGCCCTGACCGCCCGCGGGACGGAGCGGCGCGTCCCTGCGTGAGCAGGAGGAGGGGGTGCCGGTCACTAAGGCCGGAGCCAGGAGCCTCGCCCGAAGCCCGGGGCCAGGCGCTTGAGGGCCCAGGCTAACCAGCGCCGTCCTGAGAGGAAGGGCCCAGCCCCGGACGGTCCATCCTGGACGCCTCTGTGGGCGGGGAGCACGGGGGAGACGGAAGGGCGGGGAAGGTGCCCCGTCGGCAGCCGGGTCGTTCCGACCCCGTGTCTGCCGGGCCGAGCGGGCGGGCACCTGAGGACCAGGGAGGAACCCACAAATCCCTGCAGCCGCCGCCCCGGAAACTGGGATGGGCCTGTCCTGGACGGCTGCTCCGGGCTGCCAGAGGCGCCTTCACGGACGCCAACAGATGCCACCAGCTGCTTGGGGGACGGGGCCACGGACACCCTGGCAGCTCCGCAAGCGGGGGCCGCCGGGGTTCCCTTAGGAATGCGATCCCTGAAAGGAGCCGCAGGCGTAGCCCCAAGCCTCTGCGCCTGGTCTGCAGTCCCCAGCCCCCCGAGGCTGGCCATCACCCCAGGCCAGGTCCCTGGGGCTGGCCATGGCCCTAGCACAGACCTCGCGCCCGGTCTGCAGTTCCCAGTAACCCTGGGCTGGTCATCGCCACAGCAGAGGCCCTGTGGGTCTGCAGCCACGAATCCCCTGGGGCTGCTCATCGCCTGAAGTGGAGGCCCCGGCCACAGCTCTGCAGCCCCGATTCCACTGGGGCTGCCAATCGCCCCAGCATAGGCTCCAGGCACGGATCTGCAGACCCCAGTCCCCCAGGGCTGCCATCGCACCGAGCAGAGGCCCCGTCCCTGGTCTGCAGTGCCCAATCCCCCCAGGCTGGCCATCACCCCAGCACAGGCCGCACGCCTGGTCCTTAGTTCTAGCCCCCCAGGGCTGGCCATCGCCCCAGCAGAGGCCCGCACGGGCCTACATTTCCAAGTACTCTGAAGCTGGTCACTGCCCGAAGCAGAGGCCCCGTCCCCGGTCTCCAGGGCCCAGCGCCCCGGGTCTGGCCATCGCCCCTAGCAGAGCCCCGCATGAGTCTGCAGCCCCGAGTCCCCTGGGGCCGGCCATTCCCCTGGGGCTGAGCGGGCCATGGCGTGAGCTCACCTTGCCGATGCTGACCGCCTCGGAGTGCTCGAGGCCCAGAGCCAGCTGCTCCCAAGTCGGGGACAGAGCTTTGCAGTGGCCGCACCAAGGGGCGAAGAACTTGATGAAGTGGTTGCCTTGGGGAAGAGACACAGCTGAGGCTGCGGCGGATGTCCCCCGCAAGGCGAGGCCCGCGCCCACCATCCCCAAGGCCGCTCCCTGGGAAGCCCCTCCGGGGGAAGGTCAGCGCCGCCTGCCCGGCTCAGCCCTGCTCAGCCCCGCAGCTCCGGACAGCGGGGGCGCGTTTCTCTGGCCAGAGGCCCACAGAGGGCGCTCCCTGGAGAACAGGCGCCTATGGCCGGGCAGGGGCCTCTGGGCGCCCCCCTCACCCCAAAGCAGCATGAGGAGACCACCCCCTTGGCCAGCCCCCCACCCCCGCGCCGGCTCGCGGGAGGCAGGGGCTGGGGCCGGCCGGCGGGCGGGGCCTGCGGCGGGTGCTGGCAGCCACGGCCCTGCCGAGGCCGACAACTCGTGTCACGGGGACACGCAGGGAACTGGAGGGAACAGCCGGCCCCTGGCGCCAGCTGGCTGGGTACTCGGGAGCCGGCGCGCCCCCCCGCCAGGGTGCATCTGAGGGTGCCGGGGCCGCAGACCTGGGGGGGACGCGGGGCCCTCGCCTCCGTCTCAGCGGGGAACTTACTCTGAGCGGAGCTTGGCCAGGGGCTGAGGGAGGGGTGGGCGGGGGCGCTGGGCGCACCGCCGGGGCAGCCCAGGCCCCTCAGATCTGCCGGGAAACCCGCGCCCCGGGGAGGAGGCGTGACCCTGCAGCGCGGTCCCCGGTGGGAGGGACCCGTGGCCATGGACAACTACCCAGGCTGGGGCCTCCCGCTGAGGGGGCGCGTGCCTGGGCAGCCAGAGCCCCCGGCTCCCCGCCGTGCAGACGCCCCTGAGGGGCAGGAGGGATGGGCGCGGGCCAGCGCCTCGAGCGGCCCCGGACAGGGTGGGGCCGAGCCCGTTCTCACAAATGGCATGTGGGGGAGACGGCCCGCGCCGAGGGCCTCCACGGAGCCCGATCCCCAGGAGGGAGCCCCCAGCACGGACGCCAGCCACGTGGGAGCCCCCCTGCAGGCAGGGCCGTCCGGGGAGCCCACCCAGCTGAGCCAGCCCGAGCCCCGTCAGCGGCACCCCCGGGGGCAGCCGCCCCGACCGCCATACCTTGCGCCACGTGCGGCTGGAAGTTGCCCGCCGAGAGCTCGTACAGCCCCTGCCTGCGCTCGGGCGCCCGTGGGGCCTCCGCCTCCTCCGGCTGCGGCGTCTGGCGGGAGGAACGGGACACGCGTGTGCGGGGGCCGGGTCACCAGCTGGCCCCTCTGGCCATGCTGTGGGAGGCTCCGCAGCCCACACGCGGGCGCGGCCTCCCCCGACCCGCTCTTCGGCCAACGACCCCTGTCCCTGCTCGGGCGTGTCCCAGAGTCACACGGGACAAAACCAAGTCCCCGAGGGCTGACGCGCTGAGATCCGGGGGGCACAAGGGGGACTCCCGGGGGCGGGACGGCGTCACCCACGAGAACAGCAGTGACGCCACAGAGCAGGGGACCAGGGTGGAGTGGCCAAGGCCCCAGGGTCAGGCCTGCTGGACGCCAGGGCCTGGAGTCAGGCCTGCTGGACGTGGGGATGCCAGAGCCCGGGGTCAGGCCTTCTGGATGCCAGGACCAGGGCTAGGCTAGCTGGCCGCAGGGACGCTGTGGGCCCGGAGTCAGGCCTGCTGGCCATGGGGATGCTGTGGGACCAGGGTCAGGCCTGCTGGACACCGTGGGCGATGGCGGTGGGCAGGCTGGCTGCGGCGTCTAACCGGGACAGGGCCGCGGCTGCCTGACACTGCTTGTGGTGGTGCTCACAGGCACCTGTCGTCCACAGGGACGTCCAGGACGAGCCGCTCGGGGCTTTGGCCTCGTCCACAGAAACCACAGCGGGGCGCAGCGACCGCCCCTTCTTGCCCACACGCCCCAGACCAGCCTCGGCCAGCTGCCAGGAGGGGCAGAGCACCCCACTCCCAGGGACAGCCGCCTAACCCCAGGGACAGCCACCCAAGATCGTGACTGTCCTGTCTCAGGCAAGGGAAGCCCAAGGTCAGCGGAGCGAGGACCGTGGCGGTCCAGCCAGGGTGTCTGAGGCAGGGGTCAGAGAACACGGAGCAGCCACAGCTCCTGAAATTACTGGTGGGCTGGGGTGGGGGGGGTCAGTGAGACCCTGAGAGTTGAGGCGACTAGAGAAAGCAGAGCCCTCAGGGCCTGGGGCGCAGGGCTGAGGAGGGAACGGGGTGTCCAGCAGGAGAGGTCCAGCCATGGCTCGGCCCAGGGCCCAGCGCCTGTCTCTGCAGCTCAGGGTCGCGACGGTACGGGGCTGAGGCCTCCGTGAGGACGGGTCCTCTGCAGCCAGGCCAGGGCTGGGCAGCCCCCGCAGGCCACGGGGGCCCGAAGGGTTGTGCCTCCCTGCTCTGCAGGCCCGAGGGCGTCCACAGGGAAGGAGCTGCCAGGAGGCGCTCGCGGGAGGTGGGGGTGAGAGGCAGAGCTGGGGGTTGCAGCCAGCTGCGGGGGGGCTGGGCACAGCCGGGAAGGGGTGCGTCCTGCCCAGCTGGGCGCGCAGAGGGGTCAGGCGACAGGATGCCGCCCCTGTATTTTGCCCAACGAAAGACGCGGAAAAGGCTGATCCCACACGCGACGGCCCTGACCACCGGGCTTCCCTGGTGGGGCAGCCGCGGGGTCGCTGACCATCCCGAACACACAGGCACGGAGGGAGGACGGAGGCCGCCGGGGAGGGGGAGGGACGCGGGCAGGAGGAGCAGAGACGGGGTGGGGGGGGCGCACTGACCGGTTCCTCCTGGCCCTGGTCCAGCGTCCGCAGCATCCAGCTCTCCAGCGTCTGCAGGTCCCGCGGGCCCTGGTACTTGACGGCCTCTTGGCCGGGCTTGAAAAACTTCAGGCTGTTGGGGGGGGCGGGGCGTCAGGCCGGGCTCAGACACCCCCACCCACAGCCGGGGCGGGCTGCCCCGTAGGGCTCAGGCGGCCGGGAGAGGCGCGTGGGTGGGGAGAGCTGACCCCAAGTCCCCTAAGAACCACCGCCCCGGGGAGCCTGGAGCCAAGGGCCCCGCACTCAGCCCCTGACCGCCAGGCCTGGGGGCTCGGGGTCCTACCACAGCACCCAGGACAGGGCGATGCTGAGGGGGGTGCTCTTCCAGGGGTGTGACCGGGGCATGGAGGAGGCAGCGAGACGAGTGCTCTGGGGGAGCCCCGCGCCTTGCCTGGCCTTTGAGAGCGTCTGGGTAGACGCTCAGCGCGGGGTAAGGAGCAGACGTCACGGCCTGACACGGGGTCTTCACCGCGCCCTGGTGTCCTACCCCGGCCCCCAGGTGGACGTGAGGGTCACCGCAGAGGGCCCAACGGGGACCTCCGGGAGCAGGCCGGGGGCTGACGCCCACACCCCAACCTCAGGCCTTCGCCTCAGCCACGCACCCGAGCCGCACAGGAGTGGCCGGGACGCCTGGGCACAGGGCACCCTGCAGGACGTCCAGTTGCTGCTCCCCACCAGGCTCCCACCACGCTGACCCCGGCTTGCCCGGCGCCTGTGGATGGACGGCAAGGAGCGCCCCAGGGAGACTGGACTGTGGACGGGTTTGGGGACAGCGAGCTGCACCTCCCCCGTTGCCAAATGGACCTTCCCCACCCGCCAGGGCTGTGCCCGCCCCCCGTTCTCCCCGAAGGTGGCAGTGGAGCAAGGGAGGACCCCGCTTCAGGGGGTCACTCTGGAAAACTATGCGTTATGGGGTGGGCAGTGCCCCCAAGACGGATGTGCGGGCTCCTGGCCAAAACAGCTGAGCCTGCGACCTCAATTAGAGGTCCCGGAAGGCTGGCGGGCAGCCCCCACCAGCAGGGCGCCAGCTAGCCAGGGGTCCCCAGCCAGCACTGCAGGGGGCAGCCAGCACAGGGGTCCCCAGCCAGCCAGGGAGGTGCCAGCCAGCACAGGGGTCCCCAGCCAGCCGGGGCAGCAGAGCAGGCAGGCTCCCGGCAGTGGAGGCAGGCTGGGCCCAGTCAGGCCTGCGCCAGGCTGGTGCTTCCGGTGGGGGTCAGGTGTTGGGTGGGGGTGCCCGCTACTCGGCCCTGCCCAGTGGTAGCTGCAGAGAGCCCAGCCGCACCCAGAGCCCCAAGCAGCGGCCCCGCGCCCCCACCTGACTGCAGACACCGTCCGGCACCATGCTGGCAGCGCTGGCCCACACCACCCCGGGCCTCGCGGCACAGACCCAGGGCCCGGCTTTTCTGGGGAGCCCCACACTCCAAACCATAAACTCAGACACACAACGCGGGCCAAGCGTTCACCCCCACGCAGAGTCCTCGGAGTGGGGGGCTGCAGCCACCCGGCTCCAGGGCCTCTGGCCCCTGACACCCCAACACACTCTTGCCCTCTGGGGCCTGCGTCCCCTTCCCTGCCAGTGCCCCGAGCACTGCCCGCGCTGCTGCCCGACACCCAGTGGCCCCGACTGCGGAGGCAACGCTAAGGAGCCCAAGTGGGGCCCTCGGGGGGACAGCTGACGGCAATCCCGCAGCAGGCGGGGACTTCGCCAGCTCCTGGTCAGTGCCCTGGGCGGACATGAGCCCTCCCTGCGCCGGGAAGCCCCGTCCCACGGCTCTGCCCTCAGTGCTTGACAGCACAACCTCATGGCGCCGGCCTCCCACAAGCTGCCCCTCAGAGCCCCCCGGGGGCCGCCGAGAGCCCACATGGAGCGGGGAAGAGCCGGCAAACCGAGGGCCGGGGCGGTCACTCACGTGGGGTAGCCTCGCACGCCCTGGGCAGAGCACACGTCTGAGTCAGCCACACAGTCCACCTTGGCCACGTAGACCCTGGCGTCGGCCATGCTGTTGTACTTGTCGCCCAGCTCATTCCACGTCGGCTGCAGCCGCTGGCAGTGCCCGCACCTGCAACGGGAGTGCGGCTGAGACCCCGCGGCCCGCACAGACCCGCCAGAGACCCCTGCCCACCCGTCTCGGCCCGCCAGAGCACCACCTCGTGTGGACACGAAACTGAAGCTCAGCGGGGTCCAGTTGCTGGGTGGCCCGCTGCCCCCGCCCAGCTGCTCTCCTCCCCCAACCCCTGCCCGGGAGCACAGCTGAGGCCCTGAGCTCCCCTGGCCGCAACCACACGTCTCGGTTTCTGAAGGGCCACACCTGGCCAGTCCTGGAAACAGCAGCGAATGGGGCTCCCGAAACCCACCTGGCTGCTTCTGGGGTGGGGGGGGGGTGGGCACTTCCTGAGGCCAACCCCAGGTGGCTGGCTCCCCGCTACCAGCTGCGTGCACTGCTGCCTGGGCCTTGGGCTCCGCACAGGTGTCTCCACTGCAGGCCGCGCTTGCCCAGGGGCAGGGCCGACCCCCTCCCCGGGTCAGGCTGCAGCACAAGTTCCATCCCCGGCCAAGAAGCTACCCACAGGGCGCAGCAGACTCTCCCGTCTCCCCCTGCTCCCCTCAGCAGTGTGTTTCAGTGGATCTGCCTGTTCTGCGCCCCACTCTGTCTCTGGGGAGTCCTCTCACCCCCTGCATCTCTGGCCTGCACCCCGGCTCTTGTGTGCATAAATAAACAAACCCCTAAGAAGCAAAGAGGAAAAAGAGGAGGACTCCAGGCGGCCTCAGTCCTCCGCAGGCCGGCACCGGGAACCCCACTTGGCACCGGTGAGCAGCTAAAGGCTGGTTTGCGCTACAGAGTAGCTTCTAGGCCCCCCCAGAAGCTGCTCCCCCGCGGCCCGGACCCCGACGTCAGCAAGGGCGCTGCGCAGACGCTGCTGGTCCACCCGGCCAGGCCCGCGGGGCTAAGAGGACAAAGTTTGCCCAAGTCCAGGCGCAGGAGCGCAGGCCCCTCGCGGCCACCCTGCCCGGGCCCCACCCCCAGGGCCAGGGGAAGCGGCAGGAGGGCCCCCCTCAGCCCGGCCCCAGCGCGAGCGCCCCCGGCAGCCGAGCGCCCCGTTCTCTGCCCGCAGCCCCGCGCGCGCCCAGCGGCGGAGCGGCCCCGGGGCCTTCCGGGCCGGCCAGGCCGCTCCCCGCGGGCCGCCCTCCCGCGCTCGCCAGGGCCCGGCGGCCCCCCCGGAGGCCGCGGCGGGACGCTCGGGCGCCGGCCACGTGGCCGGGCTGCCGGGCCGCGACCCCCGCCCTGCCCGGCCCGCGCGGCGCCGGAGGCCGAGGCGGCCCTTCCAGGCGGCTGCTCGGCTCCGCCCGCCCCGGCCCGGCCCGGCCCGGCCCGCCCGCCCGCGCGCCACGTCAGCCGCCCGCGCCGCGCCCGGAACGGGGCGCCCCCCGCGCCCCGCCGCCCCCGCGCCCCGCCGCCCCTACCAGGGCGCGAAGAACATGACGAAGTGCGCGGCGCTGCGGATGCCGTGCGCGAACATGTCGGCCGAGTACAGGTGCTTGGCGTGCGGGTCCCGCCCGGCCGCCTCGGGGGGCGCGTCCGCCGCCGCCCCCGCCTCCCGCGCCCAGGCGCCCCCCAGCCCCCCGCCCGGGCCCGGCGGCGGCGGCGGCAGCAGGAGCAGGAGCAGGAGCGCGGCGGGGGCCGCGGGGCCGAGGACGCGTCCGGGGCGCGTGGGCATCGCGGCGGGCTGGCGCGCTCTCGCCGCGGCCGCCGGACCTGGCGCCGCCGCCCCGCCCGCCCCGCCCCCGGGGCCCCGCGCCCCGCCCCGCGCGCTCCTGCTCCCCGCCGCGCCCCGCCCCGCACCGTGGGCTCCGCCCCGCGCTCCTGTTCCTGCGCCATCCCGCGCGCCCCGCCCCGCCCCGCCCGCCCCGCCCCCGGGACCGCCCCACGCGCTCCTGCTCCCGCTCCTGCCCCGCCCCACGCGCCCCGCCCCGCCCCGTGCGCTCCGCCTCGCCCCGTGCGCTCCGCCTCGCGCGCTCCTGTTCCTGCGCCATCCCGCGCGCCCCGCCGCGCTCCGCCCCGCCCCGCCCCGCGCGCCCCGCCCCGCCCCGGGACCGCCCCACGCGCTCCTGCTCTCGCTCCTGCCCCGCCCCACGCGCCCCGCCCCGCCCCGCCCCGCCCCGCGCGCTCCTGCTCCTGCCCCTGCACCGCCCCCCAGGCCGGGCCTGGAGCGGAGGGGCGTCGTGGAGGGTGGAGGGTCAGGCGGGGCGCGGCACGGGGCGGGCGCCCTTGCTTCTGGGCGCACACGAAGCCCCTGAGGTTCGGGCCCACGGCAGGACAGCGCGGCCTGGGCGGTGACTTCGCCTGGAGGAGGGGAGGCTGCCCAGGCCTGGCCTGGACCTCCTCACCCGCCCCCCCCCCGCAGACGGGCACCCCCGAACCTGCCTTCGCGTGGGGGTGTAGGTTAGGGTACCCCCTATTAGACAGGTCCAGCGGGGCGCCCGGCTGGCGGTCTACCGCACCCTGACTCATCACCCAGGGGCTGATCCGGTTGTGGAGGTGAAGATAACCCCCAACTCTGGCTGCGTCACCCCTGGGAGAAGGCGGATGGGTAGCCCTGGGCTGGGGTGCCCCCGAATGCACCCCCACACCCTGTTCTGCGCTGGGTTCAGGCCCTGCCCTGGGGGCCTGGAGCTGACTTAGGGGGCTCTCTGGGTCACCTCTCAGGGTCCTGATTGGCCTCGGCTAAGAACCCAGCCGGTGGGCCCCAGGGGCGCCCCTGGCCTCACTGGGCTCCACCTCTGCCTGACGCGGCCACTACTGGTCACTCTCCAAAGCGCAGTTTGCCTCCGGAGCCCGCAGACCCTTCAGCTGCAACGGGGGTGCACCCCACTAACTCGTGTTCCACAGTCCCAACCTCCCCGACTTCTTCCTGCTGCGGGGTGTTCACGCGGGGACCCCACCACCAGCCGGCCGCCAGCACTGGGGCACCTGCGCCGAGGGGCTTCTCAAAGAGGTGCTGGCGGAGCCACGAAGACGCTCCCGACCGCACCCGGCGAGCAAAGGCAGGTGGAGACCGGGGCTGAATCAAATCCTCAGGTGGTCAAAGACCCCTGGAAAGTGGGTGCAGACCCCAAGCGTGCCCCCAAGTGCTCGTGGCCTCCCTGGCCCCACGTCGCCCTGGGAAGCAGGGCCTCCTCCTGGCAGGTGGGTGGGCTCCAGAGCCCCCAGAGGTGCCCTCTGCCGTGCAAGCCAGGTCCCCGCCTGCTCCCCTGCACATCACTGCAATGGACCCCCGGCTCCTGCTGTGGGTCTGTTTGACCCGAGCTCCAGGGGATCCCCCCTTCAAGGAAGCCAGCCCAGAGGCTCTCGAACTGCTGGACAACGGGCTGGAGAATGACGGCCCCTGCAGACCCCCGACCGGCCCATTGCCGCTCTCCACAGCAGCCCCAGGGGTGAGAGGAACAGGCCTTCGTCTGCCCTGGACTTGAGGCCCCTCTGTGCTGGCCCCGCATGCAAGGCCTCGCCTCTGGAAATCAGGGCGCCCCCCCGCCACCAATTTGTTACTGCCAGGCTCCTCTCCCTGTGCCCCCAAACCTCGTGCCCCCAGCTCTTTACTGTGCCCTAGGAAACCCCAACACGGAGTAGCACCACTCAACGCTGGAGCGCCTGGCCCGCCCCGGCTGCCTGCTCCCCTCGGGCCCCTCCTGCCAGGCAATAAGGCCAGCGTCCTCCCTCTCCCCTCGGGCCCCCATCTCCTGCAGCCCCCGCCCCCCGGGTCCCCTCCTTGGGGCACCCATGGCCCTCCCAGTCCCTGTCGCTGCCACGTCCACTGACTTCTGCAGGTGCCACCTTCAGTTCCCGAAGCCACCCCTTTGCACGCCCGGCCCCTCGCTCTGGCCACCCCTTGCCTGTCTTTCTTTGCGGCATCTCCGGCCTCCAGGCGGGTCGTCCTCTCTGCCCCTGCGAGCCCCGGGGCAAGTTGGGGTGATTCGGCAGCTTCAGGACAGTGCGGGGACTTCAGGAGCGTTGAGGAAGCTCCAGAAATGACGAACTCCAAAGGGGACCGGCCACCCCCAGGACGCGCTGGAAGGAGGACGGTAAAGAAAAGGGCCTCTGAGACCAGGGCCGGGACGCCGGCACGGGGCGGCGAGACCCCGGGAACGGACCCGCCCCGGGGACGGGCGGGGCCGCGGGGTCGGCGGGGAGGCAGGTGCGCAGTCCCCGCGCCCGCAGCTCTGCGGCTGCCCCTGCCCTGCCGGCCTGGTTCCCCGGCCCGGGGTCCCCCTCTGCTTCCGCTCCTTTGCTCCTTAGCCTTTTCCTCTGAACAAAGCCGCCTCGTCGCCGGCTCGCCTGAGCGTCTGCGAAGTCCCTGCCGCGGCTGCGTGGGCCCCACCCGGGGGCTGGTGGCTGGACTCTGGCGCTGCCCCAGCAGCCGGGAGCCTCCTGGCCTGGAGACGGGCCCTGCAGACCTGACATGATGGTGCCACTTAGCAGCTCCCGCCCAGAACCCCTGAAATCAGTCCCCATCAGAAATCTCACAGGCAGTGCCAGCGTGACCTCAGCTGCGGGCACAGCGGGGGCCTTCACAGGCACTCCGGACTCAACGCCCAGCCCTGGGGATCTCCCCAGGGGCAGAGACCCTCGCTATGTGAATGAAGTTAGAAAAAGAGGAAAACCCCTGAGGCTGGGGGCTGGTTGCCGGGGAAACCAAGCCGCTGGCGGGGGCTGAGCTGGCACTCCCAGATCTCCGCACTGGGGCAGGGAGGGGTGGAGGAGGGGCCTACTGCCCACAGCAGGGCTCCCTCCGCAGTGCCAGGGTCAGCCCGGGGAAGGCGGGAGGGCTGTCCCTGGCCGCAGCGTCCCTCAGTGCCCTCTGCCTGCGGCCCCCTGGGTCCTGGGCGGCCCTCCAGCCAAGCAGCCGTCCCTGCGGAGGCGCGTGGGGACCTCCAGAGCGGCCACCGGTCAGAAGCCCAGTCCGGCGCCCGCAGGAAGGTGTTTCCCCACCTGCACCCCGACAGACAACAGCTCCGGGCAGAGCAGGTCTGGCTGAGCCCTCGCCCCCCGTCGCCCAGCTCGCTCACGGGGGGGACGGCCTGTCGGAGGGTGGGGGCGAGCAGGGCCGCGGGTAGGTGGGCAAGGAAAACGGCACCTCCCCTCACGAGCCCCCCGGGTGTCCGGCACACGGCAGTTCCAGCACCGGCCCTCGCCTCTGGGCTCTCCTGCCTCAGCCCCCGCCCCCAGCCACGTTCCTGCAGAGATCCGGGTTGGGGGGACACACACTGGTGGCGGCCTCCAGCCCCCCACCAGCCTCCTCTGTTCCCAACATGACCTCGGCGCCTCAGAAAAGGAAGACCACGAATCCACCCTCCCTGCAGCAAATCTCACACCCCAGTGCCACCGCCTCCTCTGACCTGAGGGCAGGGAGTGCCCCCTCTGGCAGAGGCCAGGCCCCCACAGCACCCAGACACACTCTTGGCACTGACCCTGGGTCCTGTCGCCCAGCACAGGGGGGTCCGGAACCCCTCCCAGAGGGCCCGCGTGGCAGGTGTGGGTGCCAGCCGGGAGAGGCCCGCAGCCGGGAGAGCTGCGTCCTGCCCACGGCTGGCAGGGGTGGCCCCGATGCCCAGGGAAGGAGCTTCCTGCCCCCACCGCCACTGCCCCTGCTCTCTTCCCAAAGCCCTGCTGGGGGTCCCTCTGCCTGGGATGATGCCCCCAGGGGGCAGGATGGACTTCAGGGGGGTGGTAACTGTCCCCCAACAGCAGCCTGGCTTCCAGAAGGCTGAGGAAGAAAGGGATCCCCCAACATGGGGGGGGGCACGCGTTCCTGCAGGAAGCAGCTCAGACCCTGCACACACTCTCACTCCCCACCCAGGGGCGCATCTGCCCAGTGGCCCCAGGGGGTCCCGTGTGCCTCCCGAGGTGGTCTTCCCTCACCCCTGTGGCCATGGCCTTGTCCCCAACAAAGGGGCGAGAGGCCTAGGGGCCACTGCTGCCCCACAAGCCCACGGCTGCTGTTTTGGCCTCTTACTCAGAATCAGTGGCCATGAGGGCCGAACCCTCACTTGATGGGTGGGGTAAGCAACCCGTGGGGAGCTGCCCTTGTCCCTCAGTGGCCCTGACACTGGGGCTGCTGCTCTGGTGTGGGGGGGCAAACATCTGCCACCCTGAAATGTCTACATGCCTTTGTGCCCCATAAACTCCCCGATCCTCCCTCCTTTTGAGTGCCCTTGTCACTGGGACGCATCGGGGCACATGGCTCCGGCCTGCGCTGGGGAGGTCTGCGAGGCATCATCAAACCTCACTCCACTTCCTCTCCCCAGCATTCCGCCTGTTTGACCACGTGTAGCCCAGCAGAAGTCAGGGGTGGGCGGGGGTGCCCCATGCTCCCTCGTCTGTGCCTCCTCAGTTACGTGGCCCCAGTGGCTGTCACTGGGTGATGAAGACCCACAGAATGTTCTGTTGAGGCAGAAACCAAAACGCCAGTGTCTGGACCCGAGCAGGTGCATCCTGAGCTATTACGGGGCCGAAAGTGCCCCTTGCAGGCGGACAGCATTTGCATGCAGTGGTTTCTACACTCAGAGGGGCCTCGAGGGCGCTGCCAAGGAAGGAAGAGAAACTGCAGCTCCCTGGGGAGCTTCAGTGCGGCTCATGGTTGGGGTGGGGGGGGGGGTGTGGACACGGAGGCTGCAGTGGAGGGTAGCCCGGGAGGCTGGGGAAACGGCAGCCCCGCCCGGCACCCAGGACCTGGGCCAGGCGGCCCGTGGACACGCTGCCCAGGCCCATGGTTAGGGGATCCACTGGCAAAGCAACAAAACCTGAGATTAAAAAAAAGGGGCCAGAGCAGCTGGGGCTTACAGAGTCCCAGAGCCGGGCGCCAGACCCCAGATGCTGTGACTGGGCCTGTGGGCGTTTTGGGGACCCCCCCACCCCCATCCCACCCAGCAGGTGGCGGTGAGACATGACATCGGGCAGACGTGGGGACACCCCACCCCACTCACGACCCCACTCAGCGTGGGTGCTGCTCCCGAGGGTGCTCTGCAGGGGAGCGGGCAGCCGGTCTGGGCGGGGCAGCTCAGGCCAGAGCCCGTCCAGAGTAGCTGCCCCCTGAGGTCACCAGTCCCAGACGCGGGTGGCGGCAAGGGCAGGCGCAGCTGCTCCATGCGGGGCGGTGCTCGTGTGAGACGGGGCCTCGGGGAGCGGAAGAGCTGAAGGTGACCTTGAGGCTCTGGCCAGGGCCAGCGGGTGGCACTGTCCTTGAGCTGACCTTGGCTTTGGTGAGGTGGTTTCCACTGGGGCATCTGCAGATGGAGCAGACGCTCAGGTGCGGGGAGGGACGCGGCCAGAGCGGAGGGAGAGTGTCCCGAGCACCCAGTGGGTGTGAGCCAGGCCTCTGGCCCAGGCGATTGGACCCTGAGGAGTGGCCCCTGGGCACTTTGCCGTCCCAAGGCCCGGGTGAGGGCCGGGGCTCTGGGCAGCCAGGAAGGTGGGCGAGAGCTGGCTGCTGCCCGGCCCCAAGGAGACACTTTTCCCAGAAGCAGGGATGGAGGGGGCTCCACTGCGGGGGCTTGGCTGCCCTAGACAACCCCCGCAGACCTGGCTTCTCGCGGCTGCCCCTTCTCTCCCAGATGCGGCCCGGGCCGGGCCACTCACCGGCGGCGGCACTAGCTGAGCTCTGTCTTGGGCCACGCGTGGGTCGGCGGTGACCTCGTCCACGCGGTCCAGCTGGGCAGGGGCAGACACCAGACTGGGCAGCTGGCGGAAGGAGGTGGGGGCAGCTGGGACCAGGGCGTCTGGAAGCTGCTCCCCACTCTGTCTCTGGTGAATCCCCTCACTCCCACACCTCTGGCCCGCACCCCAGCTCTGGGACGTATAAATCAATCAATCTAAAAAAAACCAGATCTGCCTTGTGACCCAGCAATCCCACCCCAGGGGATTCGAAGGGTCCTCGCCCCCCTGTGGACACGGCCCAGCTGCGGACACAGCCCAAGCGCCTGGGGACAGAGGGGGAGCCTAGGAAGGGGTGGCTCTACGCACAGTGGAACGCTACTCAGCCGTGAGAAAGATGGACTCTTGCCGTTTTGACCAAGTCAGAAGCCAAAAGACGACCATGAACATTTCCCACGTGATGACGCAGAGAAACAAGACACGGCATCCGACGGGCCCAAACAAGCCCAGAACTCTGAGCGCAGAAGTGAGGCCCCCGGGGGGACGTGGGGGTGGAAGGGCAGCGGGAGGGCCGTGGACGCGGTGCTTTGGGCGTGGGCGCGAGCGGGGCCATCTCCCTGGAGAGGCGTGGACCGCGCCCTCCAGCACAGGCGGCGCCGAGCAGCAGTGTTCCCCTAACGATTGTGATTAGGCTGAAAGTACTACTGTTCACGTCAACAGGACCACGGCCCACACGCAAATGACAGGACGCGCAGCAGAAAGATAACATCAGCCCCAGAGGGGCAGCATCACACCTGACCGGCCACCCCGCGTGCAGGGGCGGGGGTGGGGGAGCCACAGACGTCCCGCTGCAGGCCAGGGAGCTGGGGACTAAACCTCAAGAACGGGTGGACAGAGAGGAGTCAGGCGGGACTGGAGAAAACGGACGTGACTCGCAGAAGGATAAGACACCCCGCCGTGCAGAGCCGCGGGGGACAGCGGGGCAGCGAGACACACGCGTCCTCTGGGACGGTGACCCCGGGCCGGCCACGACCGCTTTGTTTCTGTTTATTTTCTCTGAATCAAAGAGACGCTGGAAGCAAAAACCCGCCTCCACCGTGCTCCGACCCAGGGTCCCTTCGAAGTCTGGCCCCTTCTGGCCCCTCACGCGGACCGTCCCGGCGACTCCCGCTGCCCCCCCTCCCCCGCCCAGGGTCAGGCTGAGGGGTGGGAGGGTGCGCCAGGGGCATCGGCCCGTCTCCGCGCCTCCATCTCTCTGGAGTTCAGACACTTGAGACGCGCACTTGCAGACATAAGTCGCCACCAGCAAACACCTCCCCACGCCAGGCCCGCGTGGGGGTCCCCCGATCTCCTCCACGGCCCCGCCCCTGCGACCAGCTCCCCTCCCAGAGACTCCCGATGCCTCCCAACACCGGCCAGGCGATGGCTTGACTGCCCCGTGGGCGGGTGCGGGTATCCCCAGCCCACATGCAGTTGAGGGGCACAGTGGCCTGGGTGAGTCGCCACCGCCGGCCTCCTCCCCTGACCGCTCTGCCGAACCTCAAACCCAGCGCCACGTGCTTCCTACAGGATGGGCGCGCTGAGGCTGCTGTGCATGAGGGAGGCCCCCCGAGTGTGTCCACGTGGATGGACGCTCAGGGCAGGCGGGACCCCTTGCCCCCCAGGGGAGGCCCAGCCACGGTGTTTTATTCTACAACCAGGTGGCTCAGGCACCCCGCGGCCGGGGGTGTGGGGTGAACGCTGGGTGCCCACAGAGCTGCAGGGAGGGACGGGGCGTGGCCGACACCTCTGCAGGGAGCTCAAGACGGAGCCAGGCCAACCCCCACCCAGGCCCCGAGCGGGACAGGTGCTGTTTACCTGCTTTATGATAAGCCGGACAGGTGCTGTTTACCTGCTTTATGGCTTGATCCTGGAGGAAGAGGAACTTCCACGCGTCAGCTCTGCTGGTCCCTTTCCTTGGCCGCTCCGGGCTGGGCGGGGCCGGGCTTGGCCTTGGAGCTGCTGTGCTGGCGTTTCTGAGAGAACGCGTGATTTGTCGTTCCCCATGACATCCGCTCTTTCCTCTCAGGGACCAGGTGACGTCACAGAGAGGGCGCCAGGGAGGGCGCGAGCCCGCAGGGGTCTGTCTAGGGGGGCTCGGGCCCAGGCCTGGGCTTCTGTTTCCACAGGCGGAGGTGCGAGGGTCTCCAGGCGGCTCACGCCCTGCTATGGGGGTCGGCTCGGGCCTCTGTGTTGGTTTCATTAGAGGCTGCAGGTGTGACAAGGCCACAAGGGTGGTCTCAGCAATCTCCCAGTGCCACTGCCGAGAGCTTCAGGAACTTTCTGGGCACTTCTCTGGGGCAGACGGTGGAGGCCAAGTCTCAAGATGCCCAGAGCCCAGGGGGTGGGGCCCCTCAGACGTGCTCTCCAGGGGGACCAGGCCCCTCCTGGCCTTCCTCGGGGTCTCCTCTGCCTCCTGCCTCAGAGCCTGGGGTCAGGAGGGGAAGGGGCAGTGGGGGAGCTGCTGGTTCCAACCCATGGAACCTCCTCCAGGCGCCTCCGCACGTGATGGCATTGGACGGTGCCTCTCCGAGTGTCTCCCTAGTAGCAATTGGCACTGGCACCAGGGGGCTGTAAAGGCAGGAAGGCCACAGGGCGGGATCCCTATGACCCGAGCAGACGGGGTAGAGAAGGAGAGAGTCCTGGAGCCCTCAGTGGCTTTTGCAGGCTTTTCCTGGGATTTACCCGGTACACGGCAGGCAGGGGTGCCGGGGGGCCGGGGGGCCGGTAGGCTGCAGGCCTCCCAGCCCCCAGCAAGTCTTCACTCTTTCTGGGCTCGCGGCCTTCTCTCTGCTGCTTCTGTGGTTCTCCCCTTTGTGCTCCTCCTCCTCCTCTGCTCCTGCTCTCGTGGTTCTCCTGGCGTCCCCGTGACGCCGCCCCGTACGCCGTCTCTCAGCACAGGTGCACCTACTTACGCTTGCCCCCACCCCACTCCGGGTGCCGCCATCAGACACGCGTTCAGTTCTGCAGAGCCATCATCCATCCCGATGGCAGGAGGGCAGAAAAGCCTGACGCTTTCTTACTTCTCCTACAGGGTCCAACAAGGGCCCGCGGCCTGGAAAGCCTCCGCGGCCGGGGCTCCCCCGGGGCCAGAGCCCCTCCACGTCTGCAGCGAGGGACTGGCCCCCGGGGCCCTTGTGTTCTGAAGGGTCTCGCCCGGGGTTACCAGCGTCTCGGCTCTGGGCGTCGCCGGGGAGCACATGGACACCAGAGGGTTTCTGAGTGGACGAAACACACTGCGGCGTAAAAACCACGCAGCCTCTCCGGATGGGGCCCGGCAGACTTTCGTGCAGCCACAAGCACGGGTACGTGGCGTGAACAACCACCACCAAGCGTGAGGCTGAGCCAGCGCCTCCGGGCGCCGGCCAGGCTGCAGAGGCCGTTCCCGGACGCAAACCTTGCATTCGCAATTGTTCAGCAGATGCCCGCAGGCCGAGGGCGAGCGCCTCAGCGTCTGAGTGACGGGGTGACGGAGGCTCTTACTCTCCCCTTCCGTCTGTGACTGAACTTTCCACAAGGGCTGTGTCAGAGCGCCAGCCAGTCCCGACGCTGCCTCCTCCTCAGTCTAGCTCGGACACCCTCTGGCTTCCTTTTAAAAAACACCTGGATCCAGTTTATCTCTATTGCCGTGTGTCTATCGGAGGCTGAGCAACAATAAAGCTTTAGAACAGACACTCAGAGCTTCTGTAACAGCAAGAGAAATGGGTTCGATACCGTGAACAAGAAGAATAGAAAAGGCAACTTGCGGCACGTGTGCTGACACGTGGACTTCCCACGCTCCCGTGTGCCTGTCTTCCTCCCGGCGTCTGCAATCTCTGAGGAGCCCCAGCTGGGCTGAGTTCCACTGAGGCGCCTGAGGCGGGGCTGCGTGCTGCGCTCCTGGGGCCCGCGCTAGCAGGGGCTGGGCCGGCAGTCACGCCGTGTCTTCCGCGCCGTCCGCGTGGCTCTGGCCTGTGCGGGCACCGCGCCATGGGCAACCCCAGGGGCTCAGCTTCAGGCCTCAGGGCCCCGGGGCCCTCACGGCTCCAGCAGAGGCGGGTGGCCGGGTGGCTGCGGCTAGGGTGGCTCTCGCTGACCCTCACGCAGCCAGGGGAGCCGGAGCACTCAGCCCAGGGCCTCAGCCGGGCGCCAGGTCAGGGAGCTGCCCCCCTCATCTGCCCTGGGTGGGGGCTGCCCTCTGCTCCATGCGTCTAGCATCTCCTCACCTGCCCGGCCACACCTACCCCCAGGAGCCGGATGCCCAGGTTCAACCCAGGTGAGTCTCCAGGTGCCTCTCGGAGCAGGAAATGGTCCTGCACCCACAGGAGGAGCGATGGAGAAGCAGAGGAACAAAAGGCAGAGAAAACAAGGGAATGGCACAGCCGACGCCACCCTCCAACACCAGCGGCGAGCACGCATCCATGGACAGCAGGAGGAAAGCGCTTTCCTCCTGAGCCAACACCAGTGTCCACGCTCATGCCTCCAGTTAGCGGGCGAGGGGGGCTCCCCGCCTCTGCACCCCCGTCCCCCAAATGCTGAGAGGACTCAGCTGGAAGAGCAGGTGCTGGCCAGGCCTGCTGGCAGCGTCCTGGGCACCTGGGGGAACCCGAGGGCACATGCAGTGTCCTGCCCTCGTGGGAGAATCACTGGCAGGAGAATCAGTGGGGACGCCATGCGAGCGGGGCACCGGGCAGTGGCAGGCCAAGGCCAGGCTGGAGGCGGAGAGTGGCTCCTCCGTAGGGGCCCAGAGTGGCAGGCGCAGAGCCAAGTGGAGGGGCGCCCCCATGGCTGGAGCAGTGGGCGGGGGGTGTGCCGGGGACTCAGCTCCTGTCTGGGAGGACGGATGTCCCGGGAACACGGCGGGCGCGTGTACCTTCCTGCGGCCATCAGAGGGGGCAATTCGGGCACATCAAAGCCGGAGGAAGCAGGGACAGCACGTGGGGAGGGTGTCGGCGACGACTCCAGGGAGACGCCCCTTCTCAGCACCCCTTGTGGGACGAGCTGTGGTGTGCAGGGCGGGGCGGCGGGCGGAGGTCCAGGGCCTGTTTTTTGGAGAATTGTTTTGTTGCACAAGTAACTATAACACTGAACTACGCCTGTCACCCACCCAGCCACCCGTCATCCTGCATTCATCCGTCCACCTGTCCATCTGTCTGTCCGTCCATCCACCCGTCCGCCCACCCATGTCTCGCTCTCTAGTCATTCCATTTAGGCCATGAATCAAAATAAAACCCAGCACGGCGACTCTCTGCGCCTTGGAGGAACAAAGACTGACCATCCACGTGGCTGCCCAGGAGCTCCCCAGGGGGACGTGCCCCTGACCATGGGAAGCAACATCCACGTGTCTGGTCTGACCCACGTCATGAAAGACCAGCGAGGGCAGAACACACGTCCCAGCCTCCGGCCCTGGCCTCAGGGCACAGTGCCCGCGGCAGCGATGGGGCCTCCCCGGGGGGATCCATGAAGCCCCTCGGCTCTCAGAGGTGGAGCTGCGGCGCCACCTGGGGACAGGGAGAGAAGGCACCGTGCCGGGGTTCAGATGTCCCCAGCTGAGTCTGCGTCCACCCCTGCACCCCCACCCAAGGCCACAGCTGAGCGGGCAGCGGCCACCTCTCTCCTCTGCGAGGCTCCTCCTCCCTGGGGACCGCAGCTCTGCCCGCCGCCGCCAGCTAGTTGTGTCCAGGGTGTACGCTCACCATCTACCTTGATGAGAAGTGGCCCACGGGGCACGTGAGTCACTCTGCAGGGACCTGCAGAGCACCTAAGGATGCTGGCTCACCTGGTGACCCTGAGGCATGGCCACCCACTGCCCATGGAGGGCAGGTTAAGTAGACACCCCAACGTGTGTGCGGGAGCCTCTCAGGACGCCACCCGACCCGTCCGAGGGCCAATGGGAGCACGGTGGGCACGAGGGCATGGACCGGCCCTCTGGCTGCTGGCGAGCAGTGGGGTGGACAGCCAGTGGGGCAGCAGGAGCCCCAGCCAGGTGGTGGCAGCGCCCCTCCCACCAGGCCAGGAGCTCCAACTTCCTGTGGGCTCTTGCGCATCCTGTCTGTCATCTTGGCTGCAAGCCCTGTGCTGCTCTGGGCGGTAGGCCGGGCCAGGGAAGAGCCGCCGCCGCTGCTGTCATCGCTGGGCCACCTGGGGAGCAGCCCCTCCCAGCGTGGGGCAGCACCTGGCCCGGCAGGGTCGAGGCGAGCACATGGCCAGCAGCTTGGGACCTGCACTGGCACCGCCGTATCCTGCCCTGCAGGAGCCCGGAGCCGGCGTCCTCGAGGCTGCACTGGCTGCAGCGCTGCATCCTGCCCACGGGGCGTGGAGGTGTCTGCAGGGCGACACACCAGCCCCGGCCCGGCACCGACCCATGTCTGGGAAGCTGGCGGCAGGGCTTCCCCACCCCAACTGCTTGCGGGCAGAGGGGGCGCCATGACCGTGGCCTGGAGGCCGGAGATAGGATTAGATGTAGGAGGCGCACGTGAAGCAGAAGCATGGGGCCCAGCCGGGGCACAAGGGGGCTCCCCCAAACACAGCACGGGCACCTGGATGGGGTGCATGGAGGCTCCCCAAAACAGCACGCGGCACCGGCCAGGGCTCCCAACCAGGATGCCTGCTGGGAGCCCTGCCACCCAGCACGCTGGACGCCACCAGGGACCCAGGGCCGCATCCAGGCCAACACCCGCCGGGCTGAGACCTCGCAGAAGGCAGCGCGCAGCCCTGAGCACAGGTCCTCACAGCAGGCTCTTGGGCCACGACCGGGCGGGGTCCTGCCACCTGCTCCCCAGACTTGCCAAGTCACGGGGGCTGGGAGCGCAGGGCCGGGGGCTCCTGGGCCACCCAGGTGTCTTGTGAGGGCCCTGAGGTGACAGTTGGACCTCCACTTGTTCCAGAAAGTCCCGGTTAGTCCGGGCACCTGCAGCAGGGGCTCGCAGTCCCGCTGGGGGGGACGGACGCTGACGGCGACACAGGCCCACGTTGTCCGGCAGGTGACACGCGACTCTGACTCTCAGGGGTCACTTTAGCGATTGGGGCTTAACCGCTAACAACCACCCCCCTCCCCGGAAGCTGAGGACCGCCGCAGAGGTCAGATGGACAGGACTCCGGGGCGTGGGGGCCTGCCGACGCGGACCCTCTCCGCCAGCCCCCGCGCATCAGGAAAGCCTCAGGAGCTGGCCTTGCTCACGGGGGCCTCGGCGGCCTAGGGACCGTGCGCACTTCAACACAGCACGCGGCTCCCGCAGGCCTCCCTCCTGCTCGGCCGCAAGGTCAGTCCCATTTTGAGATCCAAGTCACAGTCGACGCCTAAGAGGAGCCCACCTGGCCCCGTGAGACGAGACCGGTCCTCATCTCGTCCTGGCTGTTGTCCCTGACGGCGGGGTCATCGCACGGCCACGTGCAGTAACGCCAGCTGTGTCATCGCCGGCGTCCACAGCATCCGCCACGCCAACCCTCGGAGCACCTACAGGCCAGATGCTGCCTCTGAGTCACTTGCCAGGGCTACCACTTAGCTCAGAGTTGAGAGGGACCGACCCTACTTCGCATAAACATCACCGTAAGATTTTATCTTTTAAATAACGCGTCCAACTCGATGACTTGTCCCAACAGAATACCCCTCTGGAACCTTCACCGGGGTCAAAAATTAGGAACTCACCAGCACCCCAGAAGCCCTGCCTTGAGTGCCGCCCTGGCCACATCACTGCCTTCCCAGGACAAGCACCTCAGGATGTCAGTTTTCCTTAGACATTACATAAACGGAATCTCTTACGTGTATCTAGCTTGTTTCATCTGACATCACGCTTATGAGATGCGCCCACATTATTTATGTGCTGAGCTAGCTCCTTTTGCAGGGGTGTGGAGTATTCCATCGGATGTGCATACTATTTATTTATCCCGCCAATATTTGGAGTCTTTGCATTTTGGGCTGCTGACAGGCCTTGCTCCCCTAGACACGGACGCGCCGTGTGGCCCACATGGCCACATGTTCTGTTGGGAATGGGCTTGCTGGCTCCTTGAGCAGACCTAGGTTCAGCTTTAGCGGACAGTGCCCAGCTTTTCCCAGAATATGGCAGCTGCTGCCCTACCCGTACCACAGACACCTCCGTGGCCTCACATCTGGATCAAGGTAGAGTCATCCGGTGTCTCTGCACTCTGCCCTCTGCTCATCCGCGTTTCCCCAGGACTAAGGCGGCCAAGCACCGTCACACTCGACTGGCCACCAGCCATTCTCCTCCAAGTGGGCTGTTCCAATTTGTTCTGGTTTTTTCTATGGGGCCTGAACTTTTTATTAATTTGGTACCCAGGTGTCAGCCCGTGGGCAAGCAGGGCCCTTGGCCATCGGCCGTGGGAAACTGTCGGTGCAAAGATTAAAGCAGGTCAAAGGGAAGAAAGGGTGGCCAAAAGAAACCAAGGCCTTTATAAAAACCAGCAGTGAAATTTTTGTGCAACGTGGGCCTTGTCCTGGGCCCGCAGGCTTCACAAAGGCGCGACCCCGCCGCCGCCGGCGACTTGCGGCGTGCTCGGACTCGTCACAGGTGAGCACGCAGCACGTGTGCGCTCCACGTGCCCGAGGCCAGGAGCTTCCACTCGGCCCGCATGCCCCGGGCCTCCGCATCCGCTCACGTGGGTGCCTGCTCCGGAGCGGGGGCTTTCAGGAGAGATTCCTTCACTGTACTTCTGAGCCCTGTCAACTGGCGTCCACACACTCGCTCCCTCATCGGAGAGGCACTTCTTACAAATCGCGCCAGGGGCTGCGGAAGCAGATAAAACTCTGGCTCGCTGGTAGAATTTCCGAGTGCCCGTGTTGCTCTTGGCTGTGCAAAAACTAGGTTCTGGGCTTCCAACTCAGGGCTATTTACTTAGAAAAACAGGCCTCTCTATCCTCATGGGAGAAACATGGACCAGACACCATGCAGGCTCCAGGTGGCTGGTGCCGTCCACTCCGTAAGTAGCCACTGCCCATCCCACTCCTGCTGGTCACCCACACTGACCTCCTCCCATCCTCTGCGCATGGGAACTTGCTTTTGCTTTGAGATGCCTGGTCAGAACACTTGTCCGGGACCCCACAGGCCAAAGGGCCACACCCCGGTGCAGAGCGGTGACAGCTCCGCAGCCCAGTGCTCCGCCCAGGTCAGAGGAAGTGCGGTCAGCTCTTCAAAGTGGCCCCATTCCGAGTGTCATGTTGTTCCGAGGCCCTGGAAGGCGCCAAAAAAGAAGGGAGGCCGGGGAATTCCTTCCCGGCCACAGGCCCGACATCCTGCGTCTGTGACTCTCATTGTCCTTATCTCCCCCTGCACAACCTCAAATGTTATGACTGAACACAAGGGGCCAGACAGCATCTGACTATGTGGGCCGCCTGCAGCCGTGAGTTCCGTGACTAGCTCCAGGCTGGGTGAGAGCGACCTCCTCTGATTTATTCTTTTACCACTTCTGAGATCCTTCGGGTGCCAACTTGTTATCACACTAGAGAAAGAGGCAAAAATAAAACTGTTTGGGCCTCCCTGGGTTAGAGTCTCAGCACTGTGAAGCTATCCGCAGCCTCTGCATCACGAGTTCGATCCCGGGGCAAGGAACTGGCCCACATGGTGCAGTAGACCTCGCCTGTCTCCCGCTGCTCCCCTCAGCAGTGTATTTTGGTCCTTCTGCCTGTTCTGCTCCCCGCTCTGTCTCTGGTGAGTCCTCTCGCCCCTGCACCTCTGGCCTACACCCCAGCTCTTGTGTGCATAAATAAATCAATCTTAAAAAAAAAAAAACCTTTATTTTGATTGTCCCCTTTCATTTAGGAAATTTAATCCAAATAGCTTCTAACCTCCTTTCCTCATCATGTGTAGTGCTTTAAAAAAGTAACTCCTTTTTCTAAACTAGCTTTCAAAGAACTGAATGAGTAAAACCAGGCACCAATGCAGCCCTTGCTCCCGAGGACCCATTCCAAGGCAGTCCTTTGTACCATCTGCTGCTGGGTACTGCAGCAATGTCCAAACCTTGGTATGCGTGGTCCTCCTCTTGAGGGTCCAATCATGCCGTTGTGCCACATATAGTGCTACTTCTTCCTTTTTCAAGGCAGCATTGTATGCCCTTTGAAGACACCATCACTTATCTCACCACCCCACGCTGAAGGACAGTAACGTGTTTCCCGTAGCATCTTTATACGTGAAAGGCTCTGACATCTCTTATGTACACGTCTTCACACCTCGGTACGTGCATTTTAAATGCTGACAGAGGGCCCCAGATTTTGACGTATAGCAATGCCTACAGAGGGCAGCTTTCTGTTCAGTCAACAAAGGCTGTTCGGGAACCATTCAGCTTATATGCGCTGCTTGTTGCTTCTCACCTTCACAGACGAACACTGTACAGGCCTCTTCCCGAGGACCAGGAGCAAGAGCCAGTCTGTACCGTGTGAAGAGGCGGACGAGAGCACAAGACTGGGTTGGGAACGTCAAGTCTCCAGGAGTGCTGCCGACTTCCTGGGTCTTTGGGGAGCCACAGGCAGGCGATGAAGCAGCAGGTGAGACGCAGCAGCCAAACACCCACCTCAGGAGACGCTCCAGGAGCTGGCATTTTTCTCATTTTATTTCGTGCTCTGCCTACAATCATGCACAACTAATGTTTTCATCAAGACAGAATCCCGCTCCATTTATCTAGAGTCTTCTCCAGCTCTGTTGGTCCCAGGTTTTCAGTGGAGCAGCCAAGACAGTGTGGCCTGGCCAAGGGGTGGGCCCAGCAGGGCAGCACCCCCGAGCCAGGTGTGCCCTTACCTGGCCGCCCTCCCACTCCGGCCTTCCTTTGCCCTCTGTGCCTGCCCCAGAGCGGGAGACTCGCTTCACCTGACAGCCCCCCAGGTAAAAGACCCACACCCTCCCCACCCCCACAGCCTGCAGGAAGCTGCCCCATAGCCTTGTCGGTCCATCCGTCCATCCGTCTGGGAACCTCCCAGCTTGCCTTCTGCCTTTCATGCCCTCCCGCTGGCTCTGCTCTGGGCTTGGGCGCCGCCTTCCTTAGCAGGCCATGTGCAGGCTCCGGCCCTGGGGGACGCCCCACCTGCCTGCCTTCTGCAGGTGACAGACCCAGGCACAGCTCTCAACCCAGCTCTCCCTGCACCTGGGTTTTAAGAATTAACCGTGTAGCCGTGACGGCTATTCAGATGCAGCTGAGCTCTTTGCCGTACGGGTTTGCTCACCACACTGCCCCAAGAGGTGGCTTCACTCACCCGAGTTACAGGGGGAATCTGAAGCCCAGAGAAAGCAGGCTCAGCCTGCTGGGGTGACCTCACTGCCAGTGACCTCAACCACACACTCGACCATGCGCGATGGGAAGGAATCGCCGCACCGGTATTCCCGTGCAGAAGCCGGCTTGTAGCCACCCGCTCTGGGCTGTGGCATCACAGTGCGAAGCTGCTTCCCGAGAGCCTGTGCTCAGGGACCCAGAGCGCCTCGTCAATCCCGTGCACACACCCCAGCACTTGCTTAGACCCGCCCCCCGTGGGCACCTTCTCTGCCCACCATCCCTGCCGTCAGCCTTTGCGTCCTCACCTGGGGCTTTCGGGCAGCAGCTCGTGTCAAGCACGGCATCACTGCACTCTGCAGAGCACAAGGTCGGCCAATGGGAGCTGCGCGCCCCTGGGTGCAGGCGGAGGCGGGTGAGATGCTTTGAGTGCGCCGGGCGGCAGCTCCCTGACCTAGCACGTGCACCTGGGGGAACATACTAGGCTCCCCACTTGTTCAGAGCCGCAGCCTCCAGTGTCTGAGGGCCATGCTGTACCTCCTGGACCGGCTGCCGGGTCTGGGCTGACCCAGCCCCAAAGCTCCCACCCCGTAAAGGCTCCCGGCAGCCCCAGAGGCTGAGGTGCTTCTCAGACAGCTGCACGCTCCCTGCACAGCAGCTGGATGGGGACCAGGGCCTGGCTCCGCAGGATGGGCTGGCTGCTGTGCTCAGCAGCCCCGGGAACAGGCCAGGTGATGAAGCCAGTGACCCAGACACAAGCCAGAGCCCCAACCGTGAGAGATGGGCTGGAGGCACTGACTGGCTGTGTTCGCCCCGTTGGAGTCTCAGCTGCACCCCTGCAGGGACCACATGCCCCCAGAGTTGCTGCCCCTCAGGGCCACAACCACGTCTCACCATCCCCTTCTCCAGACACCCGTGCCTTTCCTGAAACCTCTTTCCACCCCATTTCTATGCTTGAGTCTCTGGTTCAAGCCCAGGCGATGCAGGACGCTGGAGGCGGGGGTGGGGGGGAGGGCGGAGTGCAGACAGGCCCGGGAGCAGCCACACTTCGGGAGACGCTTCCAGGACACTCACCTGGCCCCAAGTGAGGTCACCACAGCACACCCTCCCTGCTCTCCAGCTGCCACTCCCAGGACACCAGACACAGCCTGGACCTAGGAGGGAGAGCGCGTCCACACAGTCGTATATCCCGACATGTGTGCTTTACAGTTCATCCCTGGAGTCTGGACACCCAAGCGCGCCCTCACCCCTCAGGACAGCGGAGAGGCCTGTGTGCAGGGTCAAGCCCCACGGGAATGTTTCAGCTCTCAAGGGTTACTTTTTGCCACGAGCACCCTTGGGCCCCCTTGGGGACGTGCAGATATGTCAGGGACCGGAGGAGACACCTCACAAACTCCCCCTCCACGTCAAGGTGGGGGCCACAGGCTCACTGCCACAGCGAGTGGTCTGGCGGGACTGACTCCTGCTCTCCCTGGAGGCTCTACCTTTCCTTTAACAGCCAACGATCTTGACTGTCTGCTGCCCACCCCTGTGCCTTCCCAAACCCACCGGCAGGTGGGCGTGTGAAGTGAAGACGGTGGAAAGCACCCAGGATGACATTGGCTGGTAAAGCCGAGAAGTGCCCACATCCGCGTGACTGCTCCGTCCAGGGGGGTGGAGGGGAGATCCCGCTCCCCAACAGCCTACGCCAGGTCCTCTGACCTACAACCTGCACAAAACCGATTTCTCTAAGAAAATGAACGTTTCTTATCTGAACAGAAGCTCCAAGTTCTCTGGCGGCATCTCGGGGCGAGGCGGGCAGGTGGCACATCCGGTCCAGAGCTCCGGGGCACCCTGGGGTGGGCGAGGGGCCCGGCCACGCCTGCCGTGGGCAGGGCAGTCTCCGCTGACCCGTCGAGCCGGCGCAGGCCAAGTGCGTGGTCCCGGCTCCCGTGCAGGAAGCTGTGCTGTCCCCCTCATCCACAACAACGGCTCCTAGAAGTATTTTTTCCGATTCCTTGGGAAGTTAAAGTATTTGAGAAGAATCTCAGGAACTGCTGCCCCAGTCTGGTGGGGGAGCAGATAATGGCCTTCCCGCCCAGGGCTCCAGGAAATGATGTGTGCGGCATTGTTCCTGGGGTGGGGCGGGGGGCGGCGGGCTGGGAGCCAGACCATGCAGCTCTAGAAACCACCCAGAACAGAAGCCCAGGGCCCGGGGCGCCCCGCCCCAGCATGGGGACTGTGAACAGGGCCTCCTCTGAGGCCGCCCGCCAGCCGCCCACACTCCCACCACTCTCATCGGTGGTGCTGGCCCAGCTTGCCGCAGGAACGGGGAGACCTGCCTGGCGTGGCCCTCCAGCCCCGGCCAATGAGGACATCGGGATTTGGGCAGCCCGCCTGAACCGTTAGATCTGACTCAGCTTGCATCAAAGACCGGCGAGGGCGAGACGCGAGACACACACCCTTCACTTGAGAGGCGCCTGACGCCCCGGGACACATGAACTGGCCCCAAGAGCAATGCCATCTGTGGTGCCAGCTGGAGGCCGCCGTCGCGCCTGGCCACATGCACATGGGCGAAGGAGACGCTGCTGCATCCACCCAGAGCCCCAAGGGCTGCCGCAAAATGGGGGGGAGGGGGAAGGGTAGAGACTCCTGTGCTGCGACCCCACTCCTTGGTGGGGCGAGTCACAGGTGCCCTCCCCAAATGGCCTCCAGACTCGATGGTGACGGCACCGATTTAAAAGCAGATACTGGGGCCTCCCTGGTGGCACAGAGGGTTAGGCACGGCACTGTGAAGCGATCTGCAGCCTCTTCAGCACGAATGCGAGCCCCGGCCAGTCAGGAAGCAACCCACATGGTGCTGCAGACCTCTCCTGCCTCGCCCGCTGCTCCCCGCAGCAGTGTACTTTGGTCAAACTGCCTGTTCTGTTCCCCACTCTGTCTCTGGTGAGTCCTCTCACCCCCTGCATCTCTGGCCTGTACCCCAACTCTTGTATGCATAGAAATATATAAATCTTAAAAAAAAAAAATAAAAGCAGATACTGAACACGGCATTCACAGGCAGGCTCCGCCTGAGACAAGGCGCAGAACTCATCGAACCATCAAAACCAACCTACAGGCTGGGTGCTGCTGACCGCTTGCTTTACAGAGGGGGAAACCGAGGTCCAGGCCCACTCAGTTAACACGTGGCAGGGCTGGAACGGCCACCTCTCTCTGCCCCTCACTGTCCTGCCTCCCATGGGGTCTGCTCAGCTGGGGTGCAAAGGTGTCGAGAGTCTCCTCTAAGTAGAGGCACTTGGACGGTTTCCTGATGAAACAAGAAGCTCCAGTTGTGTTTTTACCTGAAGCACCGCAGTCCTGCGATGACCCTGCACCCGCCCCACGACGGCTGTGGTGGGAGGGGCTACTTGCCCTGGACGAGAAAGCCCAGGCTGCATGCAGACCAGGCTCCTGGCCAGTTCGTGGTCTGCTGTCCTCAGCACAGAGATGGCCACGTAGTCAGTGGCCATTGTTTGCCCGGGGGCAGAAAGTGGCTGCCTTCCTTGCTCATCCCCCTCTCTCTCCAGGGGGCAGAGGACGGGTGCCCGCAGCCCAGAAACGCTCAGGACACCCCCTGGACCGGAGACATTCCGGGCCCTGCCCTTCGCTCCCCAAATCCCACTGCTAGTTTGCCTTTGCTGCACATGATGCTCTGATGAGCGCCCCTGCCACGGGCTCACGGGGCTCCAGGTCATGCGGGTGGCACCGAGGCTCCCCATAGTGACAGGGGTTGCTGCTCTCCCGTCCTGCAGGCACCTGCACCAGGTGCAGTCAGTCCAGAGGCGCAGGGCCAAGGCTTCGTCCAGGTCTCTCCAGGCAGGCGTGGACGCCACCGAGCGCTCCAGGGATGAGCCCCAGCCAGCCCTTGAATGCTGCAACCATTCCCCACTGCAGGCCCCGCACTGCTGCCTCTGAGCATTCATTTAGAAATCCTGACTCTAGGACCTCCCCTGGTGGCGCAGCGGTTGAGCTTGGGTTGCAAAGCTGTCTGTAGCCTCCGTAGAGCCGGTTCGATCCCCGGCCACCAGCGAGGGTCCCACATGGCGCGCAGACCTCTCCTGGTGCTCCCGCTGCTCCCCTCAGCAGTGTACTTCGTCCGTCTGCCTGCTCTGCTCCCCGCTCTGGCTCTGGTGAATTCTCTCACCCTCCCGCGCTTCTGACTGTACCCAGTGCATGTATAAATAAATAAACAAATCTTTAGAAATCCTGACTCTAACGGGAGAAGAGGACCCAGAGTGTTTAAAAACACAACTAAAAATATTACCGGATGTGTTTCTTGAGGCGATTTGGGTCAGTCTCACAACTACGACTTACCGCCTCCCACACTACTCTACACTTCAAAGTCCCAGGCACAGTTTTTTTGCTGCTGTCTTACTGGAGTTTTACTGCTAATAAAACCCTCCTACCAGTTACAGCATGAAAAATCTGTACACAAGACATGAATTCAGGCGAAACGCAATTCTCAAAAGCACCGAGCGCGCCCACGGTCCTCACCTGCCTCCTGCCTCCTCTGGCTTCAGCTCAGTCACATCCCTTCGTCTCACACACACCTCTGACTGCCCGGACAGCGGGAAGTAGCCTGTTGCTGCGGTGACACCTGCTGGCCGCAACTATGAATCCCAGCTTCTAAGGGAAGGAAAGTCTTTAGCATCACGATCTTTCTTAGTAATATTAATGTCCTCATTTATATAATTTTATTTCAACTAAGCCTTCAAGCAAATTTAACATGCAACTGACACTTAACACATTTATCTTGTAACTGTGATCTCGGGGGTAATTTGATAAATCATTGTTTCTGAAACAAGTATTTCCCAAAAAGCTGGTCAAGCATTTCAGGTTACATTGTTCTAAAAAAAGTGACTTGACTTGCAGCTTTTCAAAATCTGTACTTACTCCATTTTAAGGGAATGTATTACATCACACCATAAACTTACAGAGTGCAGCAGGCCTCGTGGAAGGCCCCCTCCCACCTCACGTGGGGTTATCTCTGGAGTATGGTTTTCTCCATCCATGGAGAGAGAGTTAAGGAAACCCCAGTGATCTGTGGCCCCAGCTCGGGGCCTCCCCGAGACGAGAGGACAGCTGGCGCGCTGTCCAGCGGCAGTTGCAACGGGGAGCTGGTAAACATCCAGTTGAAGGAAATCTCAAATCCTTATCTCTTCTGTTACTTTCACCCACTTCTGACAGTCAGGCAGCGCAAGGCCTGGGGCAGCCGAGCCGCGACCCAGCATGCGCCCCCGCATCAGCACGCGCCAGCTGGGCAGTGGTGAGGAGATACCTGGAAGATTTACCCAGACTTCAAATTCTCTCTCCATCCATCTCCTGAAATTGCTGCATTTCATTCTGCTTGGTTTATGTGAAGGGCAGAGTTGGGGCCTGTGCACAGCGTGGAGTGCAGACTTCTGGGGACCCGTAGTGACAGGGGTGCCTGCCCTGTCCTGACACCTGCTCATGAGACAGGACTCGCAGACCGGTGGGGCTCACCGGTGGTGACCCAGGGCACACGTTGGGTGGGCTTGGGGCCAGCCCTGCGTGAGGCTGTGCCACCAGCTGGCTCCTCAGGGGCTGGGCCCTCCTCACTGAGTGGCCAGAACAACGTGGACGGAGCCTCTCGGACACAGCCGCCACAGCAAAGCAGATGGACACGGGAGGTTAGGCACCAGCCCAAGTCGATGGCTCTGGGGAAGGTGAAAGTCAATATACTTTTGCCAAGCTTTTCCTCCCACGCCTGTTTTCAAAGCTGGACACTTAAGTGCTAGACACAAAACCCAGCCCAAGTGTCCTGTGCCCGGGGGGCTCACGGCTTCGCACTGCCCTGCGGATCACCAGAGTCCTGCAGGGCCGGGGGCCACCCATGTCCACCCGCCACCTGGCTCCACCACCGGTGGGGACCGCGCACCATCTCCCTGCCAGCTGCAGGCCGCCGTGACAGCTGTGTGAGCCCCGATCAGGGACCTCCACGTGCCCTGCATGTGGGATGAGGGAGTGAAAGCACTTCTCTGCATCTCTGCCAACGGCCTCTGAGACAGGGAACGGGAAGGGCAGCAGTGACAACCAGAAGACGCATGCCAGCTCCTCTCTGAGTCACCCACGGGCCCCCGAGAGCTGGGGGAGGGTGTGCGCACCTAGCCTGCACTTGGTGCAGGCCCGGTGAAGCTTTCTTCTTCTGCACGAGAGAACACACAGTCTGCTGCAAAGCTCGGAGCAGGGGCTGCAGGGCTGGCGGGCGGTTCTGGGGAGGCAGGGCCATCTCGGGAGCTTGTCCGGCCACGCGAGAGTTAGAAGGTGGAGAACTTGGCCAGATCCTTCTCCATCTGTGCGTACTGTGCCCTGAGCCTGCCCAGGGCCCGGCTGTGCTCCTCGTCCACGGCCGCCTGCTCGCCACGCTGCTGTGTCATGAACGCCTCCCACTGGGCTCGCTGCTTCTTCTCACTAGCTATTAAATGGTCGTTCAGAATCTGAGAAAAGAAAATTTGAAAATCACATGACACTTTCTAGACAATTATTCTTCCATGCAGGAGACAAAGGAAACGTTCTCTCTTGCCAGCAGGCGACCATCGCAACTACCATGTGGGTCAGTGACCAGCCCCGCGCCACAGCCTGAACGTACACAGAAAACAAGACTTACAGACACACACCGAGCTGCTGCCACCAGCCACACACCGGGACTCCCTCCCTGAACTGCAAAATGCCAGGGCCCGTGCTGACAAAGGGAAGAGCCAAGCGCACTTCTACACCTCTCTTTCACGCGAATCCCATCGCCCTCAAGTAATTTTCAAAATTAAAGAACATAGCCCAAAGCAGCCCCACTACAAAAAACCCAGACACACGCCTCACAGCAAGTGAGTCAGGCAGTAAACAGAGCCACACGCTACTCTCCCGGGGAAAGAGCTCAGAAGCGCTTTTCCAGGAAGCCATGAACACGCAGGCCCGTGCGGACACCTGTGCTCCCGATTCCCCGTCCTGTGTGAGGACCAATGTCCTTTCCTTGCGCGCAGCCCCGAGGACGCAAGCAGGTGAGTGGAGAAGGCACGGGTCAGCGGGACACCCGTCAGCGTCCTCAGTGCGCAGCGTCCTCGGGTGCCTCGCCTCATGGGGACCTGGACCAGATTCTGACGCAGAGCCTCAGGACGGGCACGCGGGAACAGGGGTGGTGCCGGGACAGCCCCCAGCACGCAAAGCCACGCGGCCACCCCAGGAGGAGGACGCAGCCTCTACTTGCACGTGGCCCTGGGCTGCCCTCCTCTGCGCCAGGGTGCAGGGCAGGGCGAAGCCAGGTACCCCAGCCCCAGGCACCGCGGGGTGGAGTCCCCTCCAGTCCCTGGGCACCCATCAAGGCACGCCCAGTAGTGGTCTGCACGGTAGCGCCAGCAGCCCGGCCGTGACACCACGCCCCTCCGCTCCACACACTGAGGGCCTAAGGGCGGGAGCGCGACTGTCTGCTCATGTGACTCGGCCGCCGGGCTGCACGACCACCCAGCCGGAGCCTCTGTGACATCCAGCTCTGCGCCTTTTCCATTGTCAAGTATGAATCCAGGCTTCCCAGAGGGAGCTTTAAATGCGCAGGTCGGGGGCTTTCTCACAAAACCAACAAAAAGCCAAATCCCACTACAAAAGCTTTTTCTTCCAATCTGACCTGAGACTCCTCAGGAACAGGCTTTTCCAGTGAAGCGGTTCCAGCGAGTGCAAGGGGACCCACGGTCAGGCGGCCGTGGTGGTGGCCCTGGCCCAGGCCACAGGGGTAACCACGGGGAGGGGCTGCTGACGCACGACACTCGGGGAACAAGTCACGCAAAATCCCGCATGTTACTTTTATCTTCCCTGTGGGGGGATCAGGAGCCCCCAGATGCCCACAGCCTAAGGAGCCCCCAGCCCTGCTGGCGGGGACTCTGCCGCAGGCACCAGAGCAGCCTCCCTCCACGAGGCGCCGCATCAGACAACAGTGTCTGGCGTGGGCTGGCGCCGTGCACGCAGAGAACGCCGACGTGCTGCTCGGACGCGCCCCAAGGACACGCTGCGCAGAGGCAGAAGGGAGCCCCCCAGGCCACAGACCGTCCAGCTGCACTCCACTGGGCAAGAGAGCCCGTCACCAGGGTCCGAAGCGAGTCACAGACCTCTCGCTTTGCGAGGAGGGGCTGGGTCCTCCGTCCGTGACGCTCACGGAGACAGCGTGGCCGTGCTGAGTCTGCCGCAGGTAAGAGTGACGGCTCACAGCAGAACGGCGGACCACGCCTTCTTATTCCCTCCAGGTTGTTTTTTGTTCTTTAATTTTAATTCATTTTAGCAATAGATTCTTGAAATAATTCCAATCTGCCCTGAAGTGAGGCCACTAGACAGAGGAACAGGCCCCTCCATCCCCACATCTGACACAACCCCCCTCGACAAGGCCACAGTCAGCGCAGACCGCGAGCACAGACCCTGGGGATGCCGCCAAGGCCGTCACGTGAGACAAGACCTCCGGGCCTCAGGCGGGGGTGAAGAAGGTGCTCGAACAGCCTTGGGAGGGACTGCTCCGACCCCACCCAGCTCCCGCAACGGCAGCCGCTGACCTCTCCTCAGCCTCCACTTTTACCAGCAAAACTGCTGCGGGGGCTCAGCTGCTTCCCCACAATCAGCACAGAAAACGGGGGCAGCGCCCACCCCCACGCCGACAGCACCGCGCCCTCCACACAGACCGACCGCCGGGGACAGAGGGCGTGAAGGAGACTGTGAAGCCATCAAATTGAAAAAAAAAAAAAGGAAAAAAAAAAGAACACCAGAAGCCGTCACAGACGCTCAACATGGGCCCTTCTGGGCCGGCACTCCCGTCCGCCCGGCTGCACCGGAGCTCGCCCCCTGCCAGACACCGCCACGCGAGCGGTCGTCACAGCGCAGGAGAAAGCAAATGCTGACAACTGAGATGGGAAGAAACGAGCAAGGCGCCAGCCGTGCAAAACAGGAGGCAGACCCACGCCACAGCCCACCGGCCAAGGCCCACCCTCGCTTCACGAGGCCCTGTCTTTGGCCACGAGACGGCAGCTTCTGTTTGGACACGTCTGGTGGCAGGACTGGCCGCGCTTCCCAACCCCAGCTCACAGCAGGCTGGGCTCCTGGAGGCCGCCCTCACAGGCTGCCAGAGCCCCCGAGCGTGCGGTGAGCCCCCATGGGCAAAGCTGCCCATGGGCACTGATGACATAGGAAGCAGGCGGGCAGCACGGGGGTCTCCTGCGGAGGAGGAGCTTGTCCTACCAGCTGGGGCTCCCCTTCCAGACACTCACTCCTGAGACCGCGCAGCCCCTTCTCCCGGGCACCTGGTGAGCGCAGGCCTGAGCATAGAAATCCACCCGCGGTCCAGTCTAGTCCGGCCCACTCAGCTCGCCTGTCTGCTCTGTGGCTCCATTGCCGTGTTGTCCTTGAAACGTGGGTCCACATCAGAGCTGGGCAGAGGGGGCCGCGCCCACCCACTGCACAGGGCACTCTGCTGGGGCTGGGCTGCGCCGTCCCTGTCTGGGGTAGGCGGCAACACGCGCATGGGGCAGGCGTCCACATGTCTCGACAGGGGCCTCTCCCTGGCCAGGGCAGCGGACAGGCTGCGAAACACGCCACGAAGACCAAAAGAAACACTGAATCACTACGGACCCTGGGCCTCCGGGCTGCGCTCCACACCTGGGCTCAGCACACGACCGTTCACGCGCCACCCGCTGGTGACTCTCACCCTGTGACCACGCTGGCCCACAGCCACGAGTGCCCTCGCGACACACACCGCCCTGCTCAGAGGAAGGCTCACACCACAGGGGGTTTCCTCGCTCCTCCCGGAGACAAGTCACGCTTTCAGGGAGAAGGGAGAAATGTGGAGGAGGAAGCAGGAGGCCTGCAATTTGAGTCACGAAAACGTGGACGGCGCAACCAGTGCCTTCAGTGACATGGCCATTTGGAAACCTTTTAAAATGACAGCATCAAAGGCGAACCCAGTGTTTTGGATCCAGAGTCATGGTGCCCCACCCCGCCCGGCCCCTGCTCACCTGTCTCCGGTCTCGCTCCCTCTGCTGCAGGCGGCTGGCGGACGCAGCAGCGGCTTGCACTGTAACGACACAGACGCCAAGTTTAATCAGCAGCCCGGGCTCCAGGGAGACTCACCTGGGGGACGCCAGGATCGCCAGATCTCAAAATCCACCACCAAAACCAAATCCTGTTTGCTCACGGTGGGTGCCCGAGGGAACAGGCTCTGTGAAGATGTCAGGGTGCAGGCCGGATGCACCATGTCTGAGCTCTGGGAGGGAAGCCGAGGCCTGGAGAGCTGTGAGCATCACCTCAGGACCCCGAGACGGGGGCATGTCGGGCTGACCGTGACTGTGTCCCTGCAGCCCTGACTCACTCACTGCCCCTTCAAATTTGCACCAACCACATCTCTGCTGCAGGCGGGACCTGGGATCTAGAATTTCCACAGCATCTCCGGCCCACCGTCCCTGCACTCCTGGCTCAGGGGTCGTCCTGGCCACCACCACCAGATTCACGCTTCAGTGGTGGTTTCTACTGTAAACCCAACCCTCACAGTCACCCTCGGGGCCCCCGAGTCCCCGCATGCTGGGAGAGGAGCCCTGCACGGCCCACTGGCCGCTGTGGACATGGAGGCGCTGTGTGGGGGGTGGCCGCTTGGGGCATGGACAGAGCTCTGAAGAGGTGGTGCCCCCGCCACACGTGACCCTCTTCTGGCTCTGCCCACTCAGCTGGCACTGAGGTCCACCACTCAGTCTCCTCGCTCACCGCCCCGTCTCCGTACACGATGGTCCCCCCGGCCTGGCTGCTGCCAGTCCAGACCAGTGCAGTCCACACCTCCTCCCGCCAGACCCCACAGGGCAGCACCAGTGTCAGGCAAGCTGGTACCCCGGGCCCTGGGCGCCTGCCCCACTTGCAGAGGAAGCAGGACGGCTCGGACACAGCCGAGCTGATGGGAGACCGGAAGGATGCAGAGATCCTGCTAAGCTTAAAATCATTAAATCTCAACACCAGAACCACCCACTGCGGTCAGGAGGCTACACCCCTGCCCCACCGGCCCAACCCTCAGGGGCATGTTTGGGGCTTGTGCCCATGGGCCTCCCTCACTGCGGGGACACCCTTCAGGGGGCTGCGCCCTCCCCCGCTGCACAGCTGCTGCCCCAGGAAGTCCCCCCCTACAGGGACTGGGGCCCTCTGGGGGACCGTGACTTCTCCTTGGGAAGCATGCCGGCCCCAGCCGCGAGGATGTGCTGGCGGCTCCTCATCTTCAGAAACCTGCCTCCTCTTGCAGGCTGTTCACCTTAGCGCCTTCAAAGCCAGGGTTCAGTCCTGAAGGCTCCCGATCACGGCTTCTCCAGCAGGAGACACGAAAGGAAGCGGGCTAACAGCCCGCCGCCCTGGAATGCCAGCCCGTCACCTCCCCAGCGGGCTCCGTCACCGGCTCAGAACACACTTCCAAACTCTATTACTTGACAGTGGACGTTGGGGCTTCAGCACTTGAAGATCACTACGAACGCCAAAGAAGTACAGGAGCACAGGGTGTGGCGCCCCCTGGAGGTCAGGAGTGCCGGCGACACCCTCTCCCCACACACATCTTAGATGGAAGACCCATTTTCAGAAGTTTCAGTCCTTTTGAAGGAATGTGCTTTTAAAACCTTCAGCCAGGCGGGGCGCTGCCCCAGTGCAGGGCAGAGCCCAGCATGACCCTGCTGGCAGGACACCCCGGCTCCCAGGTCTGCGAGTGACATGAACCAGCAGTGAGTGCACGCGCCAAGTTGGCAGACGCGAATTCCCTGGGGACGGCGGCTGAACCAGGGGCTTTTTAAAGCCCTGCCGGCCCTGAGCTCTTGACGAAGCCACAGACGCAGTGCTGTCTCTTCTGGCAGGAGAGGCTGCCAACGGTCATGCCCAGGCTCTTGGGCGGACGACAGAGCCACAGCTGGACGGGCACTAAGTGCGGAGCCATACTAGCCTCTGTGTGGAGCTCCCTTGGCAGGACAGGGGCCTCTGGGTGTGCCCTGGGCCCCACAGGGCCCTCTCCGGGTTACTGAGACCCTCCAAGGAGCTCCCGGGGCCACCAGCCAACATCGCTGTCCGTGACCACATCTCACCCCACCAATTTCGACACCAGCGGGTGGGGAGGGAAGCAGGACGCCCTGGGGTGCCCTGGGTACAGGTACCCTGGGGTTTGCGTCAGCGTTCATCAGGACATCTGTCAGGGCCAGGGCGGTGACATTAGGCAAGAGTACCCCTTGGACTTCCCGCCACCTGCGCAGACACCAGACGCGGTTCTGGCACCTCCCCGCCCGGCGGGCACTGTGCAGCAAGGCCTGGAGGAGACCCAGCCTGACGCCAGTTGGGCCCGCCAGCCGCTTGCCTCCTGGCCGTGGGGTCACTGGCTGGGGGTGTTTTCCGTCCCCAGGAAGGTGACTCTTCATCGGCAAGGTCTCCAGGGCGTGAGCCACCGCCATCTGTGGCACCTCCTCCTACCTGTGGACGAGCTGGGTGGGTCAGCACGGAGCCAGAACGGCTGCCTTCCTCGCAGCCTCCCCTTCTGAGATGAACTCCGAAGACAACACTTATTTCATGGAGCAATTTGGTAAGTTCAGTAAATATTCCTTTTTGATCAACTAATATCTCCAGGTTAAAATAGTCTGATGGGCCTCCCCGATGGTGCAGCAGGTTGAGCGCAGTGCTGTGAAGCTGTCCGCAGCCTCTGCAGCACGGGTTCAATTGCCAGTCAGCCAGGGAGATTCCCACATGGCGCAGCAGACCTCTCCTGTCTCGCCCGCTGCTCCCCTCAGCAGAGTCTTCAGTCCGTCTGCCTGTTCTGCTCCCGACTCTGTCTCCGGTGAATCCTCTCACCCTCCTGAGCCTCTGACTGTACCCCAGTTCTTGTATAAATAAATAAATCTTAAAAAAAAAATAGAACTTTTTGAGATAAACACATGCTATTTGCAGCAACATGGATGGCGCTGGAAGGGATCATGCTCAGCGAAATAAGCCAGAAAGAAAAAGAAAAATACCAGATGGTCTCACTCATAGCAGGAATGTAGAAAACTTAAAAAAGGGACCAGGAAAGAGAATAACTATAAGAAAGTGAAAATCAAAATCAACAAAAAACTATGAACCAGAGACACTCTATGGAGGGTGGGGGGCGGGAGGGGAGGAATTGGGGTCAAAATAAGGGTGCTGCAATTGTATGGGGAATATAAAAATAAAATTTATTTAAAAAAAAAAACAACTTTTTGTTTCATGAAAAACGTTATCACAAGCAAACACTCGCAACGGTTATTTTTTCATTAAAGGTAGAACACGAGTTTCCTCTTTGAAAACAAAGCCTCATTTCACAGCCCAGCTCCTCTTACAGATGAAATCATTTTGTTTAAAAAAATAGGCAAAAAGGAAACCTGTTCCAATTTGCCTGCCTGAAGGAAGGCCCCAGGTACAGTGGACAGGCTGGCTCTGAGGCCAGTGCTGTGGACACCCGGGCTACACGGCACCACCTTCTCCCTGGCAGCCTCCTCTTCCGGCACACCCAGGCTACCAGGGAGCATGCTGGAAGCCCGCAGCCCCCGGCATGGATCCTTACCTGTCTGCAGAAGGGGGCGCAGGCTGAGCTCCATGGCCTCTTGGCACCGGGGCAGGGTCTGCTCACTGGTCTCCTGGGTCATGTGCTTGAGGTTCTCGAGCACGCGCATTTCTCGAAGCCCACGCTTCTCCTGCACGAACAAAGCAAAGTTCGGACCCTGTGATGTCTGCCGTCCTCAGAAACTGTACTGGGCTTGCACCCATATGTGACTGCTCTGCGGCCACTGACACTTGCAGGCCTCCTCCTAAGCCCTGGCAACAAATGAAGGCACAGCCTGGAGGCGTTTTTTATTACCTGGAAGGCTTCAAAACCTATAACGAGTAACCTTCGTGCACAAGCAATGTTGAAAAGTGGGTGAGAAATTCTGAAAACACCCAAAAAGGCTGAGGTCGTCACCGACTCTGCAAAGCAAACGAGACGTGCCTGGCCTGACTTCACACGCAGTCAGCTGCTGTCACATGCTTCCAGACGCCGTTTCCCCAACCCCACTGTCCTTGGACAAACCTGCAGAAGCCCCTGTGCTGACGTCTGTCTGCAGGGGGCTGGGCCCTGACTGAGCATTCCCTGCTCCCACATGGAGCATCCCTGGCAGAAGGGCGTGATCTCCACCCGGACACTAGGCCTGGTGTTCGCCAGGCAGAGGGTGCCCACCCTCACCCCAAGACAGAGCTGCTCAGGCCTGCTTCCCTGGCAGCTGGCATGTCCGCCCGTGCCCCCTTGTGGCTGGAGATGGTGTGCAGGGGTGCAGCCTGCATCGAGACCCTGCAGACAGTGGTCATGGCCCGGGCCTGTGCTCTAAGGGCAGGGTCAGGGGGAGAAGGGGCCGAAGGCCCTGTGTGTGGCAGGGCTGGGTTCCGGGGACAGGGTAGGACACGGTAGTGGACACAGGTGGTGAGCGCCAGCACTCACTCTGCCTTCCGAAGGTGTTGGTGAAGGATGCGGCAGACCCCTGCGGAGACGCGTGAGAGCGGCAGGCACCTGCTCCCAAGGTGCCCTGCAGGCTCCCGCTGTGCTCGGGGTGAGGGCAGGGTCTCCTGTGGCAAGCTCAGATGCCCTGCCTGGCTGGGGTCTCCCCTGAAACGAGCCTGGCCCACTCAAGCTTGGAGGGACGGGGAGAGCACATGGCAATGAGAGGCCCTACCACGGGGTGTGGCGCTGGGATGGCAGGGTCAGAGAAAGGGCATGGACGCTGCTGCCCACAGCAAATGTGATTAAAGGCGCTAGGAAGGGAGCTGGCGGGAGCTGGCCAGACAGGGCCCCGCGGGTGATAACATAGGCACAGGCAGCGGCAGAGCGAGCAGTGAGGTAGCGTCTGGGGCACTCGTCCACTGGGCGTGCGCCTGGCAGAAAAGTGGCCAAGATGACGCTCAGGAGCTCGAGCCAGTGCTCGGGGTGTGTCCGAGTGAGCGCACACGGGCCTGGACCCTGAGCCACAAGTCCCCGCAGCCCCTTACTCACTGCACCTCACTCCACAGACGAGACAGCTGAGCTTATGGGTGCTCATTTCCCCAGATTAGGCCCCGAAGCATCCATCCAAAGTGTCTGCTCTGCATCCGCGCCCTCCCACCCATGTTGCTCCTGGCACGGCCCCCGGTCATTCACGAGACACAACCAGAGTTTAAAACCGGAGACTCTCCCTCTCGTACACGAGCACACCCAAGGTTCAAATACTTACTTCAAATTCTTTCACGAAATAACGGGCTTCACCTTGAATGATGGGCCTGTGATCTAGGAGCCTTGAGTGAATTTCTCCAAGATCTAAAAGAGAGAATGAAACTCGAGGTTAATGGGGTGCAGTAGCACCGTCTGCAGCGGGTCTCCCGCCTGTCCCCAAGATGGGTGAAGGGAGAGTCCAGCTGGACAGCGGGGCGGGGGCTCCCCATCCAGTCTGGAACTGCCGCTTCTGAGAGCAATCAAAGCTGAAGACACGTCTGTCCACCAATTCGTGCCCACGTGTCAGAGAGCAGAAAATCCCTAGTGCAACAGGGGCACCTCCAAACACTGACAGCTGCAGCAGCCGGCGGCAGGGCCAGAGCCTGCATCGGGGCCCCGTGGCAGTGAAGAGCAGCATGCACGCGCTGCATCACCGTGGACGGACCCCAGCCAGAGCACCGCCGCGCAGCAGGCTGCAGAGGCCTCAGGCACCGACGGGAGCCTTCTCAACGCGCAAGAGACGTCGCCGTCAGAGACACCAAGAGCAACAAACGCCGAGGAAACGCAGGACAAAGGCCAACCCAAGACCGGCCCCGCAGAGAGAGGAGCCGCAGGGCACGCGGGGCTTTACTGTTCGCTGCGATGGGCAGAGAGTGTTCCCCTGGTCGCTGCTTTTTGACGGGTCAAAAGTCATAAAGAGGAAAGCGTTCCGAGCTGTGAGCGCTGGGGTGACTTATTCTCCTTCGCAATGGCTAACCGCACAGCTTAAGGTCGTGCCTGAGAATCCCGGAGGAAACGGGGGCCTGCCATACCCATTCCTGGTATCCTCAGGCTCTCGAATTTCTGATTTTCGTAGACAAGCAGTGGGGCAAACTTCAAGGCTCCGTTTAAATGACTTTTGTCAGGATGCATCCTAAGGACGCACCCCGAGGGCGGAACCCGCACACGGACGCAAGCTCCCCGGCGGCCTCTAGCCTACACCCCAACTCTTACATGCACAAATAAATCTTTTAAAAAAAAAGATTACCACATGTTACTTTACACATTATCATAGGAATGAGGCCACTAACTCATTTTACTACAACATTATAACGAGCAGATGACAGTAATTCTGAGTTTGGAGACGTTCCAAGGTGACGACTGACCTCCTCACCATGCAGCCCAAGCCCAGCCCTGCCACACGCAGGCCCTCTTCTGCTCTCTGAGGCAAAGGATAAAGGAGCCTTTTGTTGTCTGCAAGTTCATACTCTAACCTGGGACAGACACCCCCTCCCCCAACGCAGAAGGCAGAGGGACACTGAGGCGGGAGACCACAGACGGCAGGACATCCCCGCTGGCCCCGTCCCTGGAGGCCGCAGGTGGACTATGGGGCTCTGAGATCATGACACTCACCGTCCCACAGCACCAGCGCGCGATGTCACTCCTGATCCCCAATTCAAGAGCCCACCTGGCTCCGGGGTGCCCCTTCGGAACCCAGCCAGGTGCTGTGGATTCCCACAACGGGCGCAAGTTATCGCCGACAACGCCGCCTCAGCCTGGACGGCGGCCCTTGCAGGACACAGGCACGGACTTCTGCAAATCAGAGGTCAGCTGGCGTCAACCACAGCCCGTGTGTTCCCGACATCCAGGCCCAGCAGGGACACCTGCTCCATCACACTTTCTCCCGGGGCGAGCCGGCAGGTGTCCTCAAAGTTCCCCCACAGCCTCCTGAGCTGCGGGACTGCTCCCCTGCAAGCCTCCCACTTTCACGCATGAACCCCCTCAAAAGCATAGCTGGTACCAACCCAGGGAGCTGAAGGTGGCCCTGGGCGGGCGACGTGACCACACAGGCCCAGGGCCGCGGATCCGGCCACGCCGCCCACTTACCGGGGCTCCTCCTGTGCCCGCGCCGGCCTGGCCTCCTCCCACGCGCCCCCCACCGCCCGCGCTACCTGGGCACGCGCGGCCGCACACAGGCCCTCGGATGCATTGCGCCGCATCCGCCATGTAACTGGCCCAGTCACCCACAAAGAGCACAAGGACACCACAGGCCACTGAAGAGAAAGCAGCGGGGAGCCGAAAGCAGAGCGGCTCTGCCCTGCTCCAGCTCGCCGAGGCTCTTCCCCGCGGTGTGGGGACCCCGAGAAACGCCCTGTGAGGACCCTGGTGAGAGGCGGGTGCAGGCACACCCACAGGAGCTCCACCGAGAGGCGGCCCGACTGCCTCTGCCCAGCGCCGATGTAAAATCCACACCTGGGCACACGGCTCGTGCGTTAGCGTCCCACCACGCGGGACAGCCCCATCCCCTCCCGAGGGCAAGTCGTGGGCAGCCCGAATCCCCCCAGGCGCCTCAGTCACCCCAACGCGTCAGCCCCAGGCTGCCAGCTCTCAGGCTCTGCTGTTGACCATGCGGTTCCAAACTAAGTCCAAGCACCCGCTTTGTTCTTAACTGCTAGCACTTGAGGCTTCAAGACCTGACACCCAACCTTCAGGAAGGCCCCCTCCCCCTAACACCCACCTGGGGCCAGAAACCCTCTGACCCAACCCTTAAGCACTGAAATCATCACGTGTCCCTCCCGCTGGGAGCTGGTAACGAAACTCAAGAAATACGTGCTCACAGTCGCTCATCTCCAAGCAGGAGGGCCGAAAACACATTTTTAGCCCGAAAAGGGCGGTTCCATAACAGACTTCCAGTTAGATTCAATATTACTGGTTTAGCTTGAAAACTTTCTCACAAATGGTTTTTGCTTAAAGAAAAGTACACTGCAGCAAGGGATCCCGGCGGAGTGAAAGGGAGCCTGGGAACGGGAGAAAATATTTGCAAATTATGCCTCTGCCAAGGGCTTAGTGTCTAGGACACAGAACCTCGACAGAAACGAATGGATTAGCTACAAATGGCAAAGGACTTGAACAGCGCCTCCTCCATGGAAGCCGAACACATGGGCCCACACACGTAAAAAACACACCCGGCATCACTAGTCATTCGGGAGACAGGAATCAATGGGAATCAAAGCTACAAGGTACGCCTTCAAGAAAACCACCAGGGTGGCTGCCGCGAGAGCAGAAAACAGCAGGTGGTGACAAGGACGTGGAGAAAGTGGGGCCAGGAGCGTGGTGAGGGGGAACATAACCTAGCACTCCCTTGACCCAGCGACTCCACTGTGGCCTGACTGCTTTCCACCAGACTCCTGTCTCTTGGAATGGAAAGCAGGGGCTCCAATGGGTATTCGCACACCCATGTTCACATTCACAAGCACCAAAGGTGGAAGCAATACACGTGTTCATCCACGGATGGTGGGTCCACGCCGTATGCAAGCGCCCGTCACCGGTGACGCTTCAGATGGCGACAGACTACAGAAGGGCCTGTGGCTCCCACGGCTGCCTCACGCGGCAGGGGCGTGGCGGGCACGGCAGCTGGGGGTGTGATCACTCTGTGATGTCTGCACAAAGGCAAACCACCTGCTGGTGCTCTTGTTAGAATTGTCCCGTAGGAGACACGACAGCACACACGGAGGGTGCCACAGCTTCAACAAGGAGTCTGACTCTCACTGCAGCCTGGATGCACCTCGAGATTGCCCCAGGGAGCCCACACGGCATTATTTCACTCTCCGAGATATCTAGACTAGTCAAATGCAGAGACAAGCTCCAGAGGTGGCTGCAGGGAAGTGGTGTGACTTAACGCCACCGACCCACACATTCAAAGTGGCCAGGATCAATTCTGCTACGTGCACTTTGGTTTTTAAAAATGTTGTCGCTGGGGCCTCCCTGGTGGCGCGAGGGGTTGAGCACAGCACCGTGAAGCTGTCCGCAGCCTCTGCAGCGAGAGTTCCATCCCCGGCCAGGGAGCTACCCACAGGGCGCAGCAGACCTCTCCTGTCTCCCCGCTGCTTCCCTCGGCAGTGGGTTTCAGTGGGTCCATCTGTTCTGCTCCCCGCTGTCTCTGGGGAGTCCTCTCACCCCGCACCTCTGGCCTGCACCCCCGTCCCTCTACGCATAAACAAATCTAAAAAGAAGCCGCAGTGGGCGCCCCGGGGACTTCTGGGGGGGCCGGGGCTGCCCCGGAGGGCGGCGCCTCCCGCACCCTGGCTCCGCTTGGGGCGTCCGCGCAGACACCGCTTTGCCGGCACGACCAGCGCAGGGGGGCGAGGGCAAGGACGAGGCGCAGAGCGTGCTGGTGGCGAGGGGGGTCTGTGTGGTGCGGGCGCGCGTGGCGGGGGGGAGGGGGAGGCCGTCGTGACGGGGCGCGCGGGGGGGGGGGTAGAGGGGGCGCCATCGTGACGGGGCGCGCGGGGGGAGAGGGTCGTGAAGGGGCGCGGGGGGGGAAGGGAGCGGCCGTCGTGACGGGGCGCGCGTGGGGGAGAGGGCGGCCGACGGGGCTCGCAGGGGGAGAGGGAGCGCTGTCGTGAAGGGGCGCGCGTGGGGGGGAGGGGGCGGCCGTCGTGACGGGGGGGGCACGCGGAGGGGAGAGGGAGCGCCGTCGTGACAGGGCGCGCGCGGGGGGGGGGGTGGCGGCCCTCGTGACGGGGCACGCGGGGGGGAGGGGGCGGCCGTCGTGACGGGGCGCGCGGGGGGGGAGAGGGAGCGCCGTCGTGACGGTCGTGACGGGGCGCGCGGGGGGGAGGGGGCGGCCGTCGTGACGGGGCGCGCGGGGGGAGAGGGAGGCCGTCGTGACGGGGCGCGCGGGGGGAGAGGGGGCGGCCGTCGTGACGGGGCGCGCGGGGGGAGAGGGAGGCCGTCGTGACGGGGCGCGCGGGGCGGGGGCGTCACCGAGGCGCGCGGACACAGGCCGCCCCTGCGCGCCGCCGGCGGAGGCGCGGGGCCCTCGTACCCTTGATGATGAGCTGCGCCGCCGAGCCCGCCGTCCCCAGCGAGTCCCGCTTCCTGGTGCCGCCGCCGGTCGGTGCGGCCTCGCCGGCCCCGGGGCCCTCCGTGGCGCCGCCGCTCATACCGGCCACTACGCCCCCCTCAGCGGAAGCCGCGCCTGCGCACGCCAAATCGGGCGCGCGCCTGGCGTCATCCGACGGCGCGAGTCTACCCGGCGTGCCGTGCGGGAAGGGCGCAGGGGCGAGAGGAAGCCGGTGCCGCCATGCTGGGTGCGGGCAGAGGCCGCGCGGCGCGGAAGGAGCGTCAGGCCCGCGCTGGCTTCCGGGGCCCGCCGAGCGCCCGCCTCCCCGCGCGCCCCGGGGCCCCGAACTCTCGGGCCCGGCATCACTTCCCTGGGAAGGAAGACGCCTGCTTGCAGGTGACGTCCGCCTTGGCGGGGTGCACGTCCCGCCGCCGGCCGGGGCTCCCCGAGGCCGCAGGCGCGCAGCCCCCAGGGCTGCCGGAGGACGCCGTCCACCCGGGGCTTCGGGGGTCCCGCGGGGCCCGCTGCCGTGTCTGCTCGGGACTGACCCGTGCGGGGAGAGCCGTATTTAGGAGCTGGGACCTCCCGCGAGCTCCAGGCCCTGGTTTGAAGCTACTGCTTTGCCTGGGGACGCCGGCCGGTGGACAGGCCGGCTCGCGCCCCAGGCGTGGAGACCAGCCCAGTACTACGGTCGGGAAGCACACACGAAGGGCCTCCCCGTTCTCCGCAGCCCTCTCTGCACAAGAGCGTTCCCCGGAGTCAGCATCAGTCACTGCCACACCATGGAATTGTAAAAGATTTTTCTTTTTTCTTAAATTTATCTTTATTATTTATGCATGTAAGCACGCGGGTCTAGGCCATAGGTGCAGGGGGTGAGAGGATGCACCAGAGTGGGAAGAACAGGAGGACCCACTGAAATCACTGCTGAGGGGAGCAGTAGGGAGACAGGAGAGGTCTGCTGCACTGTGTGGGTAGCTCCTGGCCGAGAATCGAACTCATGCTGCAGTGGCTGTGGGTTAGCGTCACAGTGCTGAGACTTAGCCCTGCGCCCCCAGGGAGGCCCAAAGAATTTTTCTTTTTTAAAATTATTTTTTTCTTTGACTTATAACCCCTGCCCTCAGCATCATCCCTTCTGCCCTTTTGACCCTTTCTCCCCTGCCCCCTTCGGAAACCTCACTTTGTTATTAATGTGAATTTTTCTAATTATTTTTTGAGGGTTTTTTTTTTTTTTTTGCATCAGGGAAATGATGTTTACTTAGTAGAAGTAAAGTTGTCACTTCAGGGTAAATCCTGTGCTAGCTCCATATTGAAGTTTATGAAAATTAGAAAATAAAAATGAGTATTTAATTACATGCATGTTGAGAACAAAATTGAAATTCATTCCTTGGAATAAGCTCGTCACAGGAAGATAAATATCTTTGGGAGAGGAGTGTTCTATATTACTTTGCTTTGCCAAATTCACTTTGCGAGGTTCCCTCTGGACCACGGGCATTGCTGTTTACTCCCTGGGTCTGTTTTTTAAGGAGGGTTAAAAAAAAAAAACCCTGATAGAGGGCCTCTCTGGTGGCACAGGCGGTTGAGCGCCACGCCGTGAAGCTCTTCGCAGCCTCTTCGCAGCCTCTGCAGCACAGGCTCAATCCCCACTGGGCACAGCAGACCTCTCCTGTCTCCCCACTGCCCCCCTCAGCAGTGAATTTCGTCAGTCTGCCTGTTCTGTTCCCCGCTCTATCTCTGGTTTAGTCTATCACCCTCCTGCACATCTGGCCTGTACACCAGTTCTTGTATGCATAAATAAATTTTTTTAAATAAACCCTGGAAAAAAAAAAACAAACCACCCTGACAGAACCTGATGGAGGCAGGGAGGGGGAAGGAGAGAGGGACTTTTGGGGTGAGAGCTGGGCAGGCCCGCAGGTTTGGCAGCACACTGTGTGCTGGATCTGTGGGGAGGGGTGTGACGCGGTGGGCAGGGCATCAGCGGCACAGCTTAGGAGTCCTGGGAGCCTTCCCGCCCTAGGTCCCAGGTCCCCCTGGAGATGCTTCTGGTGCAGTGACACCCCTGGAGACACGCAGCACCCTAGGGAACTGTGCCCACGACAGGGTCGGGCCATCACCACAAGGCCCACCCTGCACACTGAGTCAGCTGTGCAGAAAGCAAAAGCACCCATTTTGGGGTGAATGCAGGGGCCTCTGTGGGCCACAAGCTCCTGCCAGTGTGGACAGTGGTCCGCCCAGCTCAAGGACTCAGACCGGCCTGCAGACGGTGGGTTGACCAGCTCAGGCAGTTCCTGCCGCGTCACCACATCTGCAGCCCATTCCCCAAACCAACCCCGCCCCCTGGACCAGGCTCCCCTCCAGAGACCTCCTGCCCAAGAGCCAGCTCAGGCCACATCTGAGAGGTGGCAGGACCTGCAGGGCTGGAAGCCAACCCGAGGGCAAAAGTCTCTCAGGGCCTTTAGAATACGTGTGCATGCACATGTGTATATACGTACGTCTTGTGCGTATTCATGCATTTAAAAATTTTTATTGTCTGTGTATCTGTCCTTGCGTGTTTGCACCTCTGGGTGTGCATGTGTGTCGGTGTGTCCCTCTGCGTCTGTCTGTCTGGCAGGTCAGGAGGAAGGGGGCAGTGCAGGAAGGACAGCCCTCGTCACCTGAGCAGATGGGCTCAGGGATGGCGCCGCAGCAGCCTGGTGCTGGCAGGCAGGTGGCTGTGTCTGTGTCTGTGCTGGGGCAGCTCTATCTGCAGCTCTATCTGGCCAATGACCTGTGCGGCTACTTTATTTCAAGCCTAACTTGGACAGACAGGCCCAGCGGGCATGAATTTCTCAAGCAGATGCTGTTAGGGAGCACAGTCATCCAACTTTGGGACGGCAAGGACAGACGACACCCAGGGAGCCACCAGCCAGCCCGCCGCTCGCCCTGGGGACCCAGCCTCCGGGAAGTGGCACAGAGACTGAGCGAGCATCCAATTAGCTCGCCAGGCTGGAAAAGAGGCAAAGCTTTCCTCCTCCCCACGGAGAGGAAAGCTGAAAAGCTTGAGGCGCTGTTCCAGGCTGCCTGATAAACTCCTGTAGCAGCCAGGATGGCCAGGCCTCCAGGCCTCCGGACCCTTCCCTCCTCTTTGCCTCCCTTTGACCTTTCTTGTAAGGGAAAGATGAGCTTTGCGAGCCGAGATAACAGCGGGAATCAGTCTCCAGCAGCAGGGGGAATGAAGGCAGAGTCTGCAGGGATGTGGCTCCAACAAGAAAAACATCGGTGCAAATCACATCCCGTCTCCTTCCTGCTGGGCTGGCGTCAGCATTAACCTGCCCGCGCGGCGAACCCAGCCAAGGCCCAGAGCCATAGGAGAGGGAATCCTCACTCTACCACTAAAGTGTGTCAAACTTCCTCTAAGCTTTACAGCTTTACAGATCTGCTAAGGCCTGCAAGCTTGCCACAGGTCAGAGGGACCTATGGAGGGGAGCAGCAAGAAAGGGAGCAGGCAGGCCCCTGAGAGCTGGGATAGAAGTGGAGAAAGCAAAGCACAGATCAAGACAGGGGCTGCCCTATCAGCCTCGCAGGCACTCCCAAGTGTCTCCTCCAAGCTCCATCAGTTCTTGGGGGCCAGTCAAAGCCAGAGAAGCAAGCACCCCCGAGCCCACCTGCCTTCCGTGTCACTGAGCATCAACTGGCCACTCGGCTCCACCCCTAATCCCAGAAGCCAGTCCAAAGCGGGGGCAGGAAACATAGCACCTCCATTTCCAATTCAAAGCCTCTTTCTAAAAATTTAAATACTCTCATGGGCAAACCCACCCTGTGACGGCCGCCTTGGTCCCTTACGACATGCTGACATACCTGGCCGAGAAGTCGTTGGCTCAGTGGTAACGGGGCAGAGGGAGGGACCACGTGTTGCTGAGCTTCTCCAAGTATACCGGCTCCCGCATCCTGCCACCTCTGGGGCGTCATCAGGGTTTTCACAAGTTAAGAAAACCTGCTTGGCCAGCGGGCTTCAGGTGACAGAGGATGTGAGCCTGCCCGCTGTTCCTTCCACAGAACAGACTCTAACTCCAGGCGCAGACTCATTTTCAGCACCTCGACCATCAACAAGAGAGTTGCAAAGGCTCGATGTTTCTTATCTGGAAACAGCCGATCTCAGCTCTCAGTAATGGGCCCAGCCGGTGTGAGTGAAGGCAGCAGATGAGAGGCAGAGGAGTCCGCCCCTCACGCGTCCTGTCCCACCGTGGGGCGACCCGCCAGCGGCTTGTGGTTCAGATAAATCGAGTCGTCAAATCCAAAGCCAGTGGGTGCGCAGGAATTCCCCTTTCGTCTTCAGCCACCGAGTAATTCAATGAGCCCAACAACAAACCCAACCGCCAACTTGGGGAACATGTCAAATTCTGGCTTAACTGGGCCGGCTCTACCGCTCAGTTTCACCTGCAGGAGGAAAGGAAAGAAGCAGCAAGGACTTTCTCGAGCACATTTACTGGCTCACATAAATACCTGGAGACACACGCATCTGTCTCCGTGTCCCGGCGGAACTGATTACGGTTCTTCACGAACTATAAACACCCACAAACAAGGGGACGTGCAGTCACAGAGCGAGGGTCCAGCAGGGAGCCCGTCATGGTGGGAGGAAGTCAGATTTACAACTTTAGAGTCACACTGCACCTATCAGAGGAAGCTAATTTATAACCTGAGCTCAACTCAAGCGCTCACAGCAGTGAGAATATCGGGAGACTTTCAACTAAGGAACAGATAAAATGTCCAGACACAAGCTCATACTGAGGGGGAAAAAAAAAAATCTACGGAGTTTGACGGGCAGAGGGCCAGGAGAGGGCACCGCCAGCTCCAGGCAGATGCGCCGCGGCGGCAGAGACCAGGCTAGCGGGGCTGGGCGTACAGCCGGCTCTTGATGAAGACCACGCGGGCCAGGTGCTGCCGGACGCCAGGGTAGTGCTGGATGTGGCAGAACCAGCGCGACACGTTCAGGTACTGCTCCTTCTCTTGAACTGAGAGCTCGACCTGTGCGGAGAAGAAACACATACAACACTAGTGACTCAGGCCGCTGCCACGGGAGACAGCTGGAACCAGACCCAGCGGCCAGTCCTTGCTGAGGGAGGTGTGAGACTCAGCCACGCCGGCCACCCCTGCTGGACGCGTCCAGGTTCCCACCGAGAGCTGCCTGCGTGCCAGGGAGATGGCCCGGCTCTGCAAAATGACCCCGACTGGGAAGAGTTTGTCTTTCAGTTTACTGGGAGGGAAGCAGGAGAAAAGTAGAGAGTAGCTGCCGAGAAGCTAAGAGAAGATCTTTTCTCCAAGGTTTAAAGAAAACTCACCTATACAAACAAAGGCATCGAGGGAGTGACAAGGGGCCACTAGGTAATCAGACACACCCATCCTGGGGGACTGGTCGGGTGTGGGGACCACAGCTCCTTTCCATGGGACTCTGGGGGGATGTGAGGGTAGGGAGTAGCAGTGCAGCTCACTCTAGTGACTGCTTCAGCCCGCAGGGCAGGCAGAGTCCAGGGGCTTCCAAAGAGCCAGCCCTCTCCCTTGTGCTGTGCCAAGAAGCCGCCCTTAATGTGCAGCAGGCACAGGGCTCCCGGCACCTGCTCGGGAGCACCCAGAGACTGGGCCGCGGAAAGCCGAGGGAGACCCATCCACGCCCATTACCTCACGCCAACTCCAGGCGGGCGCCCCAAACACCCCCTCTCTCAAGAACTGTGCCATAGCCAACACAGAACGCCAACTGTCAACACTAGCAACAAACAGGGAAAGGCAGGCATGCTGCATTTTCTCAAGAGGTGTTTCTGGCCAGCTCGAATGCCCGTTTCACATCTACTGTAAGGTGATCTAGAGAGAGTGTGGTCTCGAGCCTTGTCTCTGCCAGGCCAGCTCCCTGCAGTGACTGGCAGTGAAAGTCCCACTTAGTCACATCCATGACGACTCACACAGGCACACCCATCTTGTTTGAGGGGCTGCAGCGACACAGAAGAGTGTCACACGCTCCTGTGTCACACACCCGTCACACCCACAATTCAGCATGTCCACAGTGTGGAGGTAAAAGATTAACAGTCATGAAAACCAGTCAAGAATGCCGCTGTTTATGCAAAAGTTCCTTTTTCACTAAAAGAGAAAACGTGGTCTCTCACGTCAGAATCTCATCATCCCGCACTCCGGGGGACAGCTCTGCAGCCTCCACGACCGGGCAATCAGTCCGCATCTCAGAAGGTGAAATGCCTCTGGCTCTTTGCCCCAGTCTTTACCACACGCAAACTTGGCCACCAACGTCAAAAGAAAATGTGAGGTTTTTAAAAAGCTCAACCACTAGTAAATACTGACACAGATCCGAGAGGACATGCAAGTGACTTTCTAGGTCACAGACCAATGCACCGCAGTTCAGCAAACACAAGACACCAACCTTGTGCCAGACGGGCCCCAGGTCAGCCACCAGGGGGCACACGTGAGCCAGGCTGACTGGCCATGACCAGGGAGGGTCCTCAGAGCTCCAGCATTTTAGGGCACTGTTAGTGAGGGCTGGGTTATTTATTAACATGGGCATCAGCCACTGCATTCACATTTACTTAAGAGCAATCAGGGGGCGGAGTTCATGGGGAGTAAGAAATGAAGAGGCAGGACAGTATCCAGAACACGGGGGCTGAAGTGAAGCCCCCCAAGGGTGTAGGGTTACATGCTGGGGCAGGGGAGGGTGACCAGGCCCAAGGGGGGGTGTGGGTGGGGAGGGAGGAGCTGCTGTGAAGCCCAGGAGAAGCAGGAAGGGGGACATAGCAGGGCCAGCAATAGGCTGCCACCCCATCACATGAACATACACAGGAACTTCTGCACCAAGTGCCTCAAGAAAAAGTAGCCCGTTTGTTAGAGAAATTTGATTTAAATTCACAACACATGGAAATAATCATCCTGACCTTTGCATAAAAGAGCCAATGATGATTCAGACCCTCACCATGAAGCGATGGAGTCCATAGTACAGGAGGATGTCTGCTAAGGTGAAGTTATGTCCCGCAAGGTAGACTTTGTCTTCGAGGTAAGAATTAAGATCCTAGGAAAAAAACAAATAATTAAAAAACAAAAACAACTCGGCAACAATAAAGCTAGCCGCCATCATCTGACTTAAAACACCAGGTTATTAAAAGCGAAATAATGAAAAACACGGACAGAGTTAGCTTAACAGGAGAGCGCAAAGTCATGTGCCAATCACTCCGCTCTAAAATCAGCGTGAACATTATTAGTCTTGTTCAATTTGAAGGAAACGGGAAACCATTAGAAAATGGTATTCAGAATGCCGTCTATGATCATTTCAAAGCCTCCATTGTTTATCTTGCGGGGACCATTTTGTAAATCATATTCATGTTGGATTCGTCTTTTCTATTAAAATAGAAAAAGGTCAACAATTTCCGTCTCCCGAGAGAATTACAAATTACCGGTCTGCTGCATTTTTACACATGTGCATTTTAAATGTCGGAGGATATAAGTAACCAAATTTACTACCTTAACCACATGTGTATAATTAAGAATGTGTTTGGATTAATGTTTTTGTGCAGCTGATCTTCAGAAATTTTCACCTTGCAAAGCTGAAACTGTACACCTACCAAACAAACCTCCACCTTCTCCTCCCTAGGAGCACGCCTTCCTAATTTCTGTCTCTATGAATTTGCTCCGGGAACCTCATGCTACTTAAATAAGTGGGATCCTACAGGATTTGTCCTTTTGTGACTGGCTTGTTTCGGTGCAACGTCCTTAAGATCCATTGGTGTTGAGCAGGTAACACAATGCCTCTTCCTTTATTTTTTTTTAAAAGAAATTTACTATTAATTTTTTTTAGTTTTTTTTTTTTAAAGATTTATTTATACAAGAACTGGGGTACAGGCCAGAGGTGTGCGGGGTGAGAGGATTCCCCAGAGAGAGTGGGGAGCAGAACAGGCAGACTGAAATGCACTGCTGAGGGGAGCAGCGGGCGAGACAGGCGAGGTCTGCTGCGCCATATGGGTTTCTCCCCAGCCAGCCAGGATTGAACCTGCGCTGCAGAGGCTGCAGACAGCTTCAGAGTGTGTCATTCAACCACCTGTGCCACCAGGGAGGCCTTGCCCTTCCTTTTTAAGGCTGTGTAATATTCCACTGCAGGGACAGACGGTGTTTTGTTTACGCATTGGTGTGTGGGTAGCTTCTGCCTCATAGCCGTTCTGAGTAATATTGCTATAATACAGCATATGAACACAGGGCCCTGGAGACCCAGTCTGAATTCTTTTGGGGTGTTCCCAGAATGGTAACTCTATTTTCTTTTGAGGAGTCACCACACCGACAGCTGCTCCTCCACTTGACAGTCCCACCAACAGTGTTCACAGCAGCTGGGATGCGGGAAAAGCCCAAGAGCTGACCACGGGTGGGTGAGGAGAGGATGAGGCCTAGTCACCCAGTGGAAAGCTACACAGCACTACGAAGGAGGAGCTCTTGCTGTCTGCAAGGATGTGGACAGAGCCCCAGGGGTCTGTGCTAAGTGAAGTCAGTGCAAAGGAGAAAGATGTATGACTTCACTTGTTTGTGGGGAGGAATAAAGGGGAGGAAAGCAATCAAACAAAACCAGAAACAAACCCTTGGACTCTGATAACAGAATAACGATGTCCAGAAGCAGGGATGGGGAGGGACTAGGTGGAGGGTGACTGGCGTGTGAGATGGGGGCAGGTGGTAGGGACGGGGCCCAGGTGAGAAACTGTCCACCTGGATCCTGGACAGTGTTGGAAATGAACATTACCTCAAAAAATAGAGGAAAAGGGCCTCCCCGGTGGCGCAGAGGTTGAGCGCTGGGCTGTGAAGCTGCCCGCAGCCTCTGCAGCACCAGTTCAATCCCCGGCTGCTCCCCGGCCACAGGCAAGGGTCCCACATGGCGCGCAGACCTCTCCTGCCACACCCACTGCTCCCCTCAGCAGTGTACTTAGGTCCTTCTGCCTGTTCTGCTCCCGGCTCTGGCTCTGGTGAATCCTCTCACCCTCCCCCACTCTGGCCTGTACCCCAGTGCTTTATAAATAAATAAATAACTCTTAAAAAAAAAAAAAAAAGGAGGAAAAAGGAAGACTTGGACAGCAGCTCCCCAGGTGATGGGAGACTTGACCAGAAGTCACATGACTCCCACTGTAAAACCAGGACCAAAGGCACCAGGTGGGTGTCCAGTTGACTCTGAGGCCCTAAAGCCTCTTCAGGTTTTAAGTCTTTCTTTAATTTAAAAAAAAAAAAAAAAGTCTGCTTTATTTTTATTAAATAAATTAGCAAAATTAACTTTATTTGACTGTTTTCATTCTCAGTGACTCCAGAACCATACTTGGTGTTACATTTTATTCCAACAGACTCTGTTATTCTCATTTGACTTCTTTGGAGGAAAACAACTCTGAGAGCAGTAAGCCATAAGGGGGGAGGTGGGTCTTCCGGATTACAATCCCTTGACTCAGCCCTGCCTTTAAGGAAGGCGAGATCACTCAGGCCAGAGGAGACAGCAACCACAGCAGAAAGCCAGCCCACAAGGCCGGCCAGGATCCAGGCTCTGCAGAGAGCCAGGGCAGACAAGCCCAGGGATCCAGGAACTGCCTCAGGCTGAAGCTAGAAGAAGACGTTTCTAGGAAGGGGTGTCTGAGCTGAGACCTGACAGGCTGGCAGGGGCACGCCTGCTGCAAGCGGAGGCACCCCACAAGCCAAACTGCCCAAAGCAGGAGGACACCAGAGAAGAGGCCACAGCTCCGGCTACTGATCCCAGGGAGAGACGCTGGGATCTCACCCTACAAAGATTGGGCAGCCCCTGTACCTTCAACAGAGTGCGCATGTCCTCTTTGCTGGGGTGGCCGTCCACTCGAGTCACTCTGTACTCCAGCCATTGCTGAACTATGGCCTTTTCCTCCGCAGTGCTCCCCAGCAGGTGCTCTTTGTTGGCCTGTTTGACCAGATGAGCCGCGATGGTCGCCAAGCCAGTTAGACTCGGGCCAGAGTTTGTTTGAAGAACTGGAATCTTAAGAAGGGGGAAAAAAGGGCTTCAGATCCATTTAAAATGCAAATCACGAAGTATGTCCTAGTTAGGGCTAAACCCTACAAGTTTTCCCAAACACTAGGATTGGGTCCTAAGGCACTAAGTGATATACAAATGAAAGAGGGGAAAATATACAACTTATGTGTAAATTAAAGAGACAATTTGCTATTTGATAAGAGACTTGACAAGCCCACATTTCACCCCTTCCAGGCTGCACTTTCACTGACTTGTAAGACTGTCACTTGGCCCCAATGAAGATGAGAAAATGAACAAAAAGTGAGAGTCATGGGGAAAAGCTTACAGGGGCAAAAAGGTATGTCCTTTGTCTTCGCACCCACTGTCCTCCAGGACAAACCACCGCCTCTGTAACACACACTGTGCCAAGCAATCGGGTCGCCAGACCTCCGCCTCTTTCCCCACTTGGCAGCTGAACTCAATCTCCAGACCTCAAAACGCCTTCCTGGATCTTGAAGATTCTCACCTTCTCAGCTCCCTGGCTTCAAAGGGACACGTCACCCGGCGCCATGAAGGTAGCTGCCAGGTTGCTCCAGGGCCCCAGAGCGTCCCGAGGGAGAGGGTCGGCCCTCACCACCGGCTCCCCAGGCCCTTAGCCCCCGAAGGGGTGTCGATGGAAGACGGCACCAACGCCCCACGGAGCCCCCTGGAGCCTCCAGTCCCCTGGGCTCCTTCTCAGAACGGGAGACGCCAATTCCCCCGGCGGCCGCCTGGGAACACCCCCTCCCGAGACCGCGGGGCTCGCAGTGTGACGCCACCTCCCTGAGAGCCGGGTGCCACTCCGGAGGCCGCGCCCCCTCAAGCCGCGGGCTCCGGGCGACGCCTCCTCCCGGGCACCTGAGGCCGCAGGAGCAGGTGCCTCCCCCGCGAGGCCGCGCACCACGCGGAGGCGCCGACCGGCCCGGGCGCGCACGTGGGCGCCCTGACGCCCGCCCCGCCCCGCCCCGTCCGGCCCCCCAGCCCCGGCGCGCCCGCCCCGGCGCGCTCACCTGGCGCTCGCCCCGCGCGCCGTACTCGCGCCCCCCGCGCAGCCCCAGCGACCTCGCCAGCAGCGCCAGCTCCGCGGCCGCCGCCATCTTCCGGCCGAGCTCCCGGGGGGGGGGGGCGGGCCACCCCCATTGGCCGGAGCGCAAGGCCCGCCCCATCGGCGTCGCCGCCCATTGGCTGAGCGCCAGGGGCGGGCTCAGCGGAGGGGCGGGCCCGGGGCGGGGCTTGGTAGCGGGACGGGCAGGGGCAGCCCGGCGCCCCGGGACAGCCCGGCCCCCCGGGGACAGCCCGGCCCCCCGTGGACAGCCCGGCCCCGGGGCTCGGTCCTGCGGAGATGGAATCCGTGGTCCTCAGGGGGCGGGCGCCGGCCCGGCTGCCAGTTCGCGGGGAAACTGATTTGCCATGCCAAGATCTTTTTATTAATTGGAATTTATTACCATTAATTACAATCTATTCATTGAAATGCTGTTTTCCCTCGTTTGGCCCTGGAATCTGTGAATTTGAACTATTAAATTGGACACAAGCAGTTCATACTCTATGAGGAATTTCTAACATGTGGGGATTCACTGTATGGTGAACTGGAAAACCTAGTTTCTCTTGTCAATCTACAGCTCCACAGTAGCTATACAATTACGAATGTGAAGATTATTCACAGACCACTGGGTATGTCAGATAGCACCAAGTAGGCCGCATAGCCTAAGAAAACCAGCCATCATTGTTAGGGGGAAAAGGATGTCTTAAAGCTAATTCCATACAGGTTTTGTGGACTCCACCCCCACCCCAGGCCAAAGCCAAAGACACTGGGAACTCCAAATCCCGTCACCACCAAAGGGAAGGTAGCTGGGACCTGAGGGTGGGGTTAAGGTTCAATATCGGGGCTGCTCTATAACATTACTACTTAAGGAGCTTGATTTGCAATACTAGAACCATAAACCAGTGATGTAACTTACATAGCTTTTGATATGTAAATGAGGGGTGAGTTAGATCCATAGGTAGTTATTAATAGCATTTGCATACTTGGCCTCAAATATGTAAATATTGGCCTCAAATTTGGCCTCAAATATGTAAATATTGTATACACACAATATTCCCAAGTAGAGGCATGCTTGTGTTTTCAAGATATAAAATGGGTGCTATATGTTAATGCCTTGACTATTTCCAAAAGTTTTCTGAAAATAAAGGACATTTTTCACATGGAAGGATGAATAAAAAAGTGTGTTATCAGCCTGCAAGAAATAGAAAAGAAATGCTACAAGGTAGTTCATACTAAATTAGAAATGCATCAGGTGTAGCAGAGAATGCTGCGAGTGTGGGGCCCTGAGCTTTGGTGTTTGATTGGAGAGGCACTGATAATAATTGATAATTTATTTAGCTCCAGTACCAGGGCTAACCACAAAGCAGCACACAAGAGGGGCAGATTCTCCATTACTTCTCTGCCCTGTCCTATAAAGAGAAAATACTGTCAGAGATGCATAGCTGTCAAACACCAACACTTTACGTATAACTATCAAACTGGGGAGCTCCTGGGCCTCCCTGGTGGTGCAGTGGTTGAGTGCTGGGCTGCGAAGCCGCCCGCAGCCTCTGCAGCGCCAGTCCAATCCCTGGCCGCCAGCGAGGGTCCCACATGGCGCACAGACCTCTCCTGCCGCCCGCTGCTCCCCTCAGCAGTGTACTTTGGTCCTTCTGCCTGTTCTGCTCCCCGCTCTGGCTCTGGTGAATTCTCTCACCCTCCTGGTGAATTCTCTCACCCTCCTGCGCTTCTGACTGTACCCAGTGCTTGTATAAATAAATACATAGATAGATAGATAGATAGATAGATAGATAGATAGATAGATAGATAGATAGACAGATAGATGGATAGATAGATCTTTTAAAAAAAAACAAAACTGGGGAGCTCCGAAGAAGAGCACACGAAATGAGAACATCTATCTGGTGCCCGTTTGCTCTTCATTAGAAGAAAAATGCTGCTGTTTCAAATTAGAGGGTGAAGAAGAAGGAGGGAAGGGGAAAGGATGGATTACTGGCTAATTCCAATGTTAATAGGTAACTGATAGGTAGTATCCCCACCCCCCAAAAAAGAGGGTTTATATAAGGGCTTATTATATAAGGGCATTAGACTAAAGGTAACCTTAGAATAAAAATACTAACTTGACTAAACACCAAAAGAAAGAGACTGCAGGCAAATGAAACAGACCACGTAAATGTGGGGCCGGGTGTCTGGGAATGTATATAGCAATAGTTTCTACAGAATGATCAATGTGGGGCCCCCCTGGTGGCACAAGGGGTTAAGACACAACCTGTAAAGCTATCTGCAGCCACTGCAGCACGAGTTCAATCCCCGGCCGGGGAGCATGGCACAGCAGACCTCTCCTGACTCACCTGCTGTTCCCCTCAGCAGTGGATTTCAGGCAATCCTCCTGCTCTGTACCCCACTCTGTCTCTGGTGAATCCTCTTACCCCCCACACTTCTGGCCTGTAGCCCAGTTCTTGTATGCATAAATAAATCTTTAAAAGAAAAAAAAGAATGATCAATATGTCAGAACTGAGGCCAAGTATGCAAATGCTATTAATAACTACATATGGATCTAATTCACCCCTGAAAGGAAAAGGATTTTTCAAAGGGACTAAAGCAACAAAATTCACATTATGCTATTTACCAGAGTAATTGCAAAGCAATGCAAAGAGCACTTCATAATGCCAACACTCTGCGCCAGAATACAGATAAAATAGTTCTTAATATTAAGGACAAGAGTCAGACAGAGACCAGCAGGAGGCACGTGGAGCAGAGATGTGTGAAGAAGCTGTGCTGGCTTCTTGGTCCTGGACTGGTTAGAACAGACGTGGGTAAGACCCGTGGGAAGGTGACAGTGGCAGCTTTTATCTTGATTTTGATTTTGCTCGTTTCCTCCCAGACTTGCCTGCCCACTCCTGCCCCTTCCCTGTGGGTTCCCACGGGAATGTGCTTTAGACTGTAACAGGCTTTCGGGCCTCAGCAGCCCTGTTTTGGGCCAACCCTGCTTGGCTGGCACTGACTCATGAGGGGATGGGTAACTTCGGGTGCTTAATTTGGAAACTCTATTCTTTCCTTTTTCTCTATTGCACACTAATTGTATTAAAATTCCTTCCCTGGGCCTCCCCGGTGGTGCAGCGGTTGAGCGCTGGGTTGCGAAGCTGCCCGCAGCCTCAGCAGCGCCGGTTCGATCCCCGGCTGCTCCCCGGCCACCAGAGGAGGGTCCCGCATGGCGCGCAGACCTCTCCTGACGCCCGCTGCTCCCCTCAGCAGTGTACTTGGGTCCTTCTGCCTGCTCTGCTCCCCGCTCTGGCTCTGGTGAATTCTCTCAACCTCCCGCGCTTCTGACTGTGCCCAGTGCTTGTATAAATAAATAAATAAATCTTAATAAATAAATAAAATTCCTTCCCTTTGAAGGTTTCGTGCACTAGAGTATGTTTTGTCTTGATGAGGCAGATGGCAGAAACTGTTTAGAAAGGGCAGGTTTGGGGGTTCTGGGGTGCCCCTCACCCTGCCCTGTAGCAAATCCAGGGCATCTCCTCTACCACAAATCCAGGGCAAATCCCTACCACAGCCACACCTGTGAAGACCCATTCTCCTTACCGAGTAACAATCACAGGTAAGCACCAGGTACACAAGGAGGCCTAGTACAGATTCCAGAAAATTGATGGTGTCATTGGTCCCACAGAAAACGTATTTAAAAAGTGAATCAACTCTGAAGAATAAAAACACAAACATGATTCTTTGACGACATGCAAGATAATCAGGAAAGCATCATGAAATAAAAAATTTTAAGGGCATTTTATAGAAATGTAAAAATATCCTCATCAACAACTCTTTGGCCACAGAGAAACATGGGAGGAAATTGCAGACTATCTAGAATCTATAACATGTAGTGTTTTTTTTTTAAAGATTTATTTTTATTTATTTATACAAGCACTGGGTACAGTCAGAAGCGCGGGAGGGTGAGAGAATTCACCAGAGCCAGAGCGGGGAACAGAACAGGCAGACTGACCAAGTACACTGCTGAGGGGAGCAGCAGGAGAAACAGGAGAGGTCTGTGCGCCATGTGGGACCCTCCTCCAGGGGCTGGGGAGCAGCCAGGGATCAAACCTGTGCTGCAGAGGCTGCGGGCAGCTTCGCAACCCAACACTCAACCGCTGCGCCACCGGGGAGGCCCTATAACATGTAGTTTTAAGAGGAATGTTTATACTATGAAATAGTCACATTAATACAAATGCAAAATAAACCAAAATCTAGATGAAGAATTTTAAAATAAGCTAGAAGAGAGAAGGAAAGAAATAATAAAAGGAAATGTGTGAAACATGAGTTGAACTTCAAATCGAAATTCAAATGAAGACTAAAAAATTAAGAAATTAACATTAGTGGATAATAAAGGGAGAGAGTATAAATGGACAAATTCAGAAGTGACAAGAGGGAAGAACCATCAAGACAAAAAATTTGAAAAGTCACAATAGACCTTTTTTGCATAAGTCTATACAACTAAATGTGTAAAACTTAACTGTTCTGTAGAAAAAAATTTCAGAATAATTTCCTAGAAAAATACAATATAATAAAATTGACATCAGTTGGGAAGAGGTTCTAAATAGACTAATTTTTACTATGGAAGAAGTAGAGGAAGTGAGGGTCTCCCCTGGTGGCACAGCGGTTGAGCGCTGGGCTGCGAAGCTGTCCAGTCTCAGCAGCACTGGTTCTATCCCCGGCCGCCGGCGAGGTTCCCTCGTGGCGCGACAGACCTCTCCTGCCTGCCCGCTGCTCCCCTCAGCAGTGTATTTCGTCAGTCTGCCTGTTCTATTCCCCGCTCTGGCTCTAGTGAATTCTCTCACCCTCCCGTGCTTCTGACTGTACCCAGCGCTTATATCTATCAATCAATCAATCAATCAATCAATCAATCTTTAAAAAAAAAAAGTAGAGAAAGTGGTCAAAGAGCTTTCACATAAAACAATACCAACCCCAGAGGTGCCCCTGGGGGAGGGGCTGCCAAAGTGTCAAAGGTCAGGCCTTTGACACTTTGGCAGCCCCTCTCATTGCTCCTGCAGCTATTCCAGAGCATGGAAG